AGACCGAAAGCTTTGGGACGCATTACATCTTTGATCCTTCGCATACGTATATGCCACCCTCAATTTGGATTGTGCCAACTGTGTTAGGAAATTAAGTACACAGATTGAATTTGTTTTAAATGCTTTTGGTTAAATCTTTTTTTTGTTTTTTTCTTCTTCTTCTTTTGCTTGTCATTTTATGTGGTGAAAAAAATCTATTTTTATCTCTTGTTGTATTAAAATGTGAGATCAAGTTTGTACAACATATAATTAAATATTATTGTGATTTTTTATCAATTCTTTTTTATGTTATTATATATATTTTCTAAGCTAGAATTAAATTTTTTTTTTTTGTAAGAAAGTTAATATATTTTCTTTGTTTAGCATTAATAAGGGCTGGAAATAACATCGAGTCATAATTCTTGATACTTAACGTGTCCTTGCTTGCTAGTTATAGGGCTGCAACTCAGGCAGGTTAGGCAGGCTGAAGACTTAATTCGGGCTCAGCCCATGTACAAAATTTTTTGGCCAAGCCCAGCCCAAGCCCGCCTAAAGCCCAATCCCAGCCACCCAAGCCAAGCCCATAATTAACTTTTCCTACCCAAGCCCGCCCATGAGCCCACGCCTTTGTATTCAGAATGTAAAAAATAAGAAATTTGTGCAGCTATAAAGACTCCAACAGAATTCCTCCAAGAAAAATCCCAAACACATTACCAATTAAGTTATTATACACTTGTGAAAAAACATAGTTTTAAAATAAATATACCCTTTTCGGGCTCGAGCTGGGCTTCGGGCTTTATATAATATCAACTCAAGCCCAGCCCAAATTTAATTTGGGCTCAGAATATCTAGCCCAAGCCCAGACCTAGAACAGAAAACACTACCCAAGCCCTGAAAATTTCGGGCTGGGCTCGGGTAAATTCGGGCTGGCCCAGTCCGAGTTGCAGCCCTAGCTTGTTACATGGTGTGACATTCTCATTGGACCTTTAGGAGACCATTTTACTTCTCATTTTTATACCTATGCATGAATGCCTTGGTGGGACCATGAGGATTCTATCTCCTTTTAATATATCTATACCAAATGTCTGAGTACCACCATTTAAGCCTGTGCATACTTACTTGATAGATGGCATTACGTGCAAGCATTTTTTTGTGAAAAAATGTGTTTTCGTTCCTGAACTCCTCATGACTTTTCAAAAGCGAGAAAATATCGCTTTGCTTTTGATAGTATCATCGTTGGGGTTAAAACTCTCATTTTTCATAATAAAATCGCCAAACATATATACATACATGGCCAACTCCATTGAGCCATCTTTATATCTGGAAAACCTCTTTAATGGCAATGACATGGTTAATAAGAACCACCACCAAAGAATTTTGTATCTATGTTTAGCACAAAACAATTCTCATACAAAGGGCAATGAATAATAATAGATACACCATATATACTAAAAATGAATTTTGATATATAAGAAAGCAATGCAATTAGTGTGTGTTAAAATCTCTATTTCTCTATCCAATCCATCTTTTCCTGCACTCTAGACAACAGGGTGCAACACCATAATGAACACCAAGAATATGTTTTTTCTTTATAACTAATTTTATAAGTTTTTCCCTTCTTTCCCCCCCCCCCCCCCCCCCCCCCCCCCTTTCGGTGTATTTCTTATCAAATTATGTTTAGCATCGGTTGCAAATGGAACAAGCCCTCCACATGAACACCAAGAATATGCTGGTAATCTACCCTTCCTGTGAAAAATAACAACACTGGTGAAGAAATGAGTGTGTGTGTGTATATATATATATATATATATATATATATATATAAAGGGTCAAGCTAGTGTGTGCCTGACAAGTCAAGAGGACAGTGATTCAAGAGCATCACTTCCTCTCTTCCTCCTCGCGTTGTCTATTCACATACAGAGATAAGATTATGTACATCTAACTCTTCTCAAACTCGTAATAACTAGGAGTATAAAAGAGCTTGAGCAACAAAGAAGCATGCAATACTTCATTGAAGAAGACGAATTATTTTTTGGCCAAATATGCCGTTAAGACACTTTTTATGTAAGCCAAACAGTACCTTAAAGGCTATAATATCAGTGTTGTGCAGAAAAAAATAAATAAATAACAAAATATGTTTTTAAATTTGTACTACATTATTTTGGCCTAAAAACCATTCTGTTAGCCAAACACTGGCTTAACATTTTTTAAGTTCACTTTTGTTTAGAGAAAAAAACAAAAATTGATTTTTTTTTTGGGACTCAAACAGATCCTTATAGAGCCATTGCTCTGGGCCTCTTTTTCACAAAAAATTTTTAGGCCCTCTTTTTTCTGACCTAATCATTTTGACGATCGAGGGCTGAGTTGCTGGATTTGGAGGCCCATTCCACAATTCGATTTTTTGGGTATCGCCAAAATGGTATTGGCCTAACATGACATCTCCAATCAATGGTATGTATATATATATATATATATGACAGAGAATCACTAAGCACATGTCGGTAACGTCTTTGACGTAACCATACACATGCATAAAATGCATATAAATGACTGCAGAGTAGTCAAGGCCCACATGTTCACTCCATATTAACTGACACACACACACACACACGAATATATATATATATATATATATATATATATATATATATATATATATATATCAACACCCACAGTCCCACCCACGACCACCACCCCCAAACACCCACCTCTGCACCGCAATCCTCTCTCTACCGCCACCAACACACACATTATCCTTTACCACCATCGTTCTCCCTAACCACAACTATGACCGCCGGTCACCTCTACCATCACTTTCGCTCCTCCTCAACCACCACCGCCACCAATATACACTCTCTGTCCCCTCTACCACCACCACCGTCGTCTCTACTCACAGCCACTTGGTAAAGAAAATTGGCGAGACCTAAAATAGAGCAATTGATTTCATCCACCGCCAAACACCCCCTCTGCACCGTAATCCCCTCTCTACCTCCACAACCGCAACCAACACACACACTCTCCTCTACCACCATTATCCTCCCTAACCACAACCACCACCGCCGGTCACCTCTACCATCACTTTCGCTCCTCCTCAACCACCACCGCCACCAACACACTCTCTCTATCCCCTCCACCACCACCATAGTCCTCATTACTCATAAAAAATTGGCGAAACAAACAATTTTATACCACCAAACATTCATAATCAACTATAAATCCCAAATTAAAATTCAAAAAATATTATCGCATATCATTCCTCTAAGCCGGATCAACATCAGATTAAGAACTAAAACAGAACATTAAGACCTAAAACAGAACGAAGATTAAGAACAGAACATTAAGACCTAAAACAATACGAAGATTGAGAACTAAAACAGAACATTAAGACAGAACAATTGAAATTGAAACAACACTCTACCAATTTGCATCTAATTTCATAAAAACCTTAGCTTTTTCTTGTCGCAATGTTTGCTAAGCTCAAACAGGCTCTAGAATTTCAGGTCACAGCTTCTACAATCAAATTACAAGGTCTTATGAATCTTCTTCTGGTGTTCTGCCAAATTTGATGTGCGATACTTGCACAGCGTACAATAGTCGTCGAACTCTTCAGGCGCCGGCACTCTGGAGATTCATCCTGCGCCTTTTGCTTTCCGGCATTGGACGACACTTTAAATTTTCCGGCGGAGGCTTTGGAAGACTACTTTAATTTTCTTACCGAGGATCGTTTTGGCATGATTTGAGACCAATAGGGTTTTACAAAATGTGAATGGTTCTGGAATGGCACTCGTATATATACAGAATGGGATGAGCTCTGCCATTTCTGAGAGCATGCTCTCAGCATGGGAAAAGGCTTTGTTTGGAAGGATTTGGAATTACTTTTGGGAAATGACCTTTCCTCCGACCCAAACAACCGAAACTTCCTCCGAAACCGAGAATCTGTCTAACTTGGGAAATCAAGACCCCTTCACTTTCTTCCTCTTTGTTTCTGGAATTCACGGTCACGATTGTGCCCTAACGTGCAGGGACGGTCCCAATTTCGATGGGATTGAGTCGAAAGATGTATCACGGCTCTTTATGTTTATTTATGAAATACTTTTTTATGTTTATATATGAAATACTTTTTTTATTCATTTATTGAACACACTTTAAAAAGTTGTTACATTTTCACATACGGAAGAAAGCTTGTTTACATTTAGCTTTAATAATTAGGATTATAAAAGAGCTTGAGTTACAAAAAAGCATGCAAAACATCATTGAAGAAGATTTTTTTTTTTTTTTTTTTTCTGGCTAAATATTACCGTTAAGACACTTTGTTTCAGTCAAACAATGTCTTAAAAGCTATAATATCATAATTGTGCAGAAAAAATAAACAATTAACAAAATTTGTTTTTAAATTTGTACATTATTTTGGCCTAAAAAGCCTGAGTATATAACTACATATATGTATATGGAAGCACAATTTAATTATAATCACAAATTTCCTACATTTTTAGGAGAAATTGTAATATATCTCAAAGTAAAGGGTATTTTTGTCCTTTACTTATCTCCACATTAGATTCGAGACAGCAATGCTAAAAAAAAAAAAAAATTTACGTAAGTGATTATCTGATCAAATTGGGCTAGAAAATTACAAGTATGATGTATGAATTCCACAATAGTGCATGTGGTGGTGAAAAACAAAAAAAAAAAAAAATTTATGGTGGCGTGATTCGGACAAATGATTGGGCTCAGTGATTGTGTGACGTTTCCGATTTTCGCCATTTTTCATTTTTTCGGAATTTCGTTGACACAGGGGTATTTTGGTCTTTTCACATTTTTCGTACGGGATTCTAGTTGAGCACTTGCATTTTGTGCATTTCAATTTACGTGGATTAAGTGGTATTTTATGTGTTGCATTATATGTGTGTAGTGTAGAAATTGGAGTAAGAGAAAAAGAGAAAAGAAAATCAAAGTGGTGGGACCTATCACTATATCAAAAGTGGTCTAGAGACCACATTTCCAACCATTCACTCTCTCTCCCCGCTGGTTCTCTCTCTCTCACTCTCTTGATTGCTTTTTCTTTTTCTTTTTCTTTTCTCATTCAATCTTTGAGACTTGATTACTTCTTCATTTCTTACTGGATTTAGGTGTCGTTTGAGGCAAAACGAAGAGCACAGTGAGCTCTACACGTTTATACCATCAATTCCAGCTTTGAGCCTCCCTAGCATCTTCGAAATTAAAACCCATTTTTGAGGGTTTTTCGCAAATAAGAGGTAGGGGTTTCTAATCCATGAGTTCTTGCTCCCTAGTGAATTAATCCTTATTAATTGATGCTTAACATGTTTAATCGAGTTGATTACCTCTAGAACGATGTGATTTTGTATATGAGATCCATAATAATGTGTATATGTAGATTTGTGAGATAAACATGCTTAAATGTGGATTTTACATGCTTCAGTGTTTGTAACTTGGTATAATTTGTTTTGTGGAAAGCACGTCCATGTGTAGATTCCTTTATGCTTATGGTGCTAGTAATTTCTTTGTAAATATATTGAATGGGAGTATGTTAAATTATGTAGGGTGTGAATCTTTTATGTATCATGGCATCATGAAAGCATATGATGATCATGCATGTCATTGGGTATCAAAATGGGAAAGAAATTGTTTTGATACAAAAAGGGGAATTTTTAGGGGAAACAAGTTTTGATGAAAAAGAGTTTTGAGAAAACCCGGTCGCTGCGGAGTCACCAACGGGCCGGTAGGTTAATATAACCTAGAGGGAACTAAGGAGATTGCCCTAGCGTGGTTGAGCTATCTGGGCCCCATAATGATGCTGCGGAGTCACCAAAGGTCAGGGACAGTAGCCAATCCTTCTCTCGGCGCTGCGGAGTCACCAAAGGGGGTTACATTAACAGTTTGAAATTGGTGGATTTGAATTGTTGAAAATGGGGAGCGATATCAACATGCATTGCATTTCATTGCTCCATATTGATTGTGTTGAGACTGTATGTTATGTTGTATTTTCCCTACACAGTATGACCCCGATTCCTATTGTCCTATTCCTTGTTTGGGTTCACGGGGATACAAGATGCGTGTCTTAGGTGCCACCTACTGAACAATTTTCTCACCCCATATATTTAAACATTTTTCAGGTCATAGCAAGGGTCAGCGGATGACAATTCACCGCAAGCTTGAAAGTTGTTTGAAGACCATCTTGCTATTTTGTACCTTGTCCATTTTATGTATAATCATTTTGTGGGGGAACGTAACTAAGTGATACATGGCCTTGTAATGTAAGAATGAAACCTCACTTTTAATTGATGTAAATGGGATTAACGTAACCATGATTTATAGCTTTATGTAAAAGTAATCAAGTGATGTTTTATGTGATCACGATGTTGGTATTTTGGTCTTTGACGGTTAGTAAGTTCATTTCCAATGACTTAGCCGAGTTTGAACCATTGTAAAGGTTCTATTTTTAGTTCCCATTTCATTTCCAAGTGCTGCAGACTAGTTTGCAGGTTCTGGGCACGAAGGAGCCATTTCGGTCGACCGAATCAGTGGAATTGGCTCTCGGGATCTTCATTTCGGTCGACCGAAATGAGGTTCGGTCGACCGAACCTTTGACATGCTCTCGGGACCTACATTTCGGACGACCGAAGCTCCACTTCAGTCGACCGAAATGAAGCTGTGAGATCAAACTTCTTTCTTTTCTCAGCTGCTCTCAGGATCTTCATTTCGGACAACCGAAGCCCCACTTCGGTCAACCGAAATGAAGCTGCTTGGTCATAATCCATCCTCTCTCCCAGTGTTTGTTTGGTTCAATGACAGATTAGACTTTGAGGCTTACTGAGGGTGAAACTCAAGTGTAGTAACGGTGCTTTGACCTTAGAAATGCCGTGATGGACCGAGTTTGATCTAGGAAACCTCGGGTTTGAGCAAGGACCCAGCTAACGATTCGGACCTCTGGGTTCGGGGCGTTACAGATTGGGCCTGTGTGAACATTCTAAAAGCACTTAAACAGGCCAGTAATCATTTTTGATAGCTTTAAAAAAGAATTTTTGGGTTTGAAAGTGTGATACCCCTCATTTCTAGAGCCACGGGTGATCAAGTCCGAGCACAGATCCGAGGGATACCAAACAATCAATATGTAAACAAGCAGGAATAAAACTGCAGTAAGATTTAAATAATAATAAATAGAAAGAATATTAATATGAAAATCCTCAAACCTTAAATAATAATTTAATATAATTTAAATCTGTACAACTCGGGAATCCACCTGGTGGACCCCTAAATACAAATCTTTAGATAAATTTACAGAATTAAAATCCAAAACCATAATAGGAAGGAAATCTTATGTAACCGGTAGAGTGAGTGTCTGTATCTGCATCAACACGATCAAACTCTAAGCTGGAACTGGCAAATACCTGAAAAATAGGAGTGGGTCAAGCCCACATGCAAGTTCCAATCTACTACAATCCGTACATAAACCCGATACGCAGATACATCCTAAATAACTCGGCAATATCTACAATAGTCCATAGATATATAAATACACACTATAGGATGTTCACTAGCCTATAACATAGTTCAGCCTGGGTAGAAGGTGACCTATAAAACACGTTTTCCAGCGGCCAAGTACCTAGACCTACCAGGGAACATTAGCTATATCCAGCTACTCAACCTTTGCAATATACGCACCCTAACCGTGATCAGGAGACTCAAGCTCGTATCACGGTACCATAAATATATATATAAATTCCTTCCTAGTGCAGAAAGATAAAACAAATATCCATTATGTCGTTCAACTGTTTTAGTTGACAGGACATGCATCCATGTAGGATTTAACTGTTTTAGTTAATCCATTCCTTATGTATGAAGGGGTAGGACTTAGCTTTTTGATCTAATCCATCCCTGATATGTCACCGTCCCATACCGGTACATATAATGCAAATGATCCTTGAATGATGCAACATTTTCAACAATTCATCAAATCATACCCACGTAATCCAAATAGTTGATATACAGAGTTTAAACAGTTCATCAACTTGCAATCCAGAATCCATCCATGTAATTAACGAGACAAAGTTTAATAATTCATCAAGTTAAGATCCAGTATCCATCGATGTCATTGACAATTTAATTCATTTAATTAAATTTCAACTAACCCATAGTACAGTCCAGCGGTTGACAATATTAACAATAGTAAGAGTCAATTATAAAGCTGAGAATGCCAAACTATAACTCAGAAAAATCCACAGTACTAACCAATAGTTGCTGAAATATAAAGAACAGTTTAACCATTAAAATAACAATCTCCATTTAATTAATGAAACCTAATTTATTAGTTCCTTAATTAAAATCCAACCTATGCACAAATAAGGTCTAACAAACACATGACCCTATTCTGTACCCAACATAGATTTCAAAACCATCCTCCAGTCATCTAAGTTGCTAAATTAAGTTTACACAACTAGATACTTTATAATCACCAACAATGTGCGTCATTACTTAAAACTCCCACACTGTGAAAACCTTTAGCATATTAGAATAAATTATGCATTGTGAGTCCTAATATAGCATAATATCCTGTTTAGACACCATGCAATAGTCCGTTAAATTTTTAAAATAAGACTTAGCGAATTAGTCCTTCCTATCCGTTAGCAGCGTACAAAGTCGCATATTTTTACCTTGTACCGTTGTATACTTCCCTACAGTTAATTCCATGAGTACTAAGACATTAATTTATTAGAAGTGGCTCTAATATAGCATGGTGTAATGTTTGGAATCCATGTTCCAACTCTTTTAATTGCTAGACACAATTTAAGCAATTAAACCTTTACAATCCGTTATGTCCGTAAACAGTCTGCGACTTGTCTTAGATTTTCCCACCGTTTAATACATTAGCATATAAATAAATTAATGCATCCTAGGGCTCTAATATTTCATGAATTAATATATAACTTCATCTGCCTAGCCCAAACACAGCTCAGAAAAATCACCAACGAGCCAAACAACGCACAAACCACTCCAGTAAGTACATAGAATCACAGAGCCTGCTCTTAGAAACATAGAGCAGGCTCTAACCTGCATAGAGCCGGCTCCCATAACCCTTGGAGCCGGCTCTAATAGAGGGGGAGCCGGCTCTTTGCTTCCTAGAGCCGGCTCTCTCTCTTTGAGAGCCTCCTCTGCTTCAACTTCTTCGTTCTGCTTCGTCCGGTTGTCGTCTGTGATTCCGGCGAAGTCCAGTGTCCTATTTCAGACCTTTTTAAGATTATTAGGGTTCCATTAAAGCTCTTAAACCCCTAGAGACTTCTCCTATTCCAGTGTGAACCAGTTGACAAAAAACTTAAACTACACACAACAGCTTATGCAAGAATAAGTTTGAATCGTTAAAAAAGCACAGAACAGATTACCGAAATCATCTAGCATGCATAAAGTCCATTTTTAAACGTTTAATTAAGTTCCTGGAGTATATATAAGATGCACAGAACACAAGTTTACAGGAGAGGAATAGACTGAAACTTGCCTTTAGGTTTCGGTTTGAAACCTTTCAACACCGTTGCTAAATTCTCCAATGAACTGTAGGTTACCTGCAACTGCAACTCTCCTACTGTTCCAGTTCTATCTCACCCTTAACCTCTTCCTTCCTCTGTGGTACACCCTCAATCCATAGTTGAAAGCTTAATTAATTCGCCCAGTTTTCCCTCTGTGTTTTCCCTTCCAACCCTCTCTGTTTTCCCTCTCAATACACTTTTACGTGAAAAAGGATTTGTCTCAACCCTAGCAGACTTATAAGAATATATATATAGCCGTCCCAGGTTTAATTAAAACCTAACCTAAGTTGGCGTCCAAACCATATAAAAATAAAACCCTAATCCTATATTAAATACAAGACCAAATAAAATAATTAATATAGATAACTAACCAAATAAGTCATATAAAATGCACGTCATTTATCATCAAATAATTAAATTAAAAAAATCTCAATTCCACAATTAAATTAAATACACACAAATAGTAATAAATCAATTAGGCAAATAAAACAATTAAGCTAAACAAATAACAAATAAGTCCAATTATTAAATATAAAAAAATGAAATACAAATCAAAATTGAAAAATTAAATGTCCATTCCCGTTTTATCATTTTGAAAAACTAGGGGTATTACAGAAAGCCCGTGGAAACTAAAGCTCCCAAACAGCGGTAATAGGAAATAAAAAAACTCATCCTTCTTGTATCAGGATTCTACGAACTTCCCGATTAGGAAAATATTTGTCACTATATATATAGCCTATAGGTCAGTACTGCGTGTTAAATCTCACACTTTGTTCTTGGTTTTCGATGAATTGTTCTTGGTTTTCGGTGAATCGTCAGTTGTGAAGCTTACGATTATTCCAACTTCAGTAAGTCTTTTCTTTTGATTATTCATATTTATATATTTATATATGAGTATTTGTCATTGGTTATGGTCATATTTATGGGGTGGGGGGGGGGGGATGTAAGGCAAGTCTTTTTAGGTGAATTTTGGATATGCCGATATGATGATGTGTTTGAATGGTTAAATAAATTTATATATTCAAATATATTTATATAAATATATAATAATGGATTGCATTTATATAACTAAATAATAAAACAATCGGGGGATGGGTAGCCTTGTGTTTTTTTTTTTTTTGTTGATGCATTTAATTATTCTGATTGGTTTAGGTTTTTTATTTGTTGGCACTGCAGTTTTAAAAGAAGTACGGCTATGGATATGAGCTTATTCTTTGACTCAGATTGGTCATGCCTTCCAAAGCACTTATTGGATACGATTCTGGAAAATTTGGTTTCCTTTTCTGACTATGTTCACTTTGGTGCGCAAATCACGGCACTTTGTGGCCATGGAGAACAAACTTTAATTCGTTCAAAATAGATGTCGCAGACAAGTTCGATTGTTGATGGTACCCTCTGAAGATAATAGCGACGAAAGACATAGTTTATACGACATCACTCGTAATAAGTTATATGGTCTTCAGTACGGATGGCAACGGGGGCGGGTTTGGGCGGGTGTACATGCCCCCGTCCCCGCCCAAAATAGCAAAAACGGGGGGACTTTCCACCCCATCCCCGCCCCCGTTTAACATTTTGACCCCCGCGGGTACCCACCCCGCCCCGTTTAAGACCAAAATTTCTCCTTCATTTAATTTTTTTATCAACTAAAATTTATATAATTATTGAAAAGATTCATTAAAAAATGGGCAATAAATAGTTACTTCAGCATTAAAAACATTTTATAATAGCAATTTCATAAAAAATAACATACCAAAACCAGACAACCCAAATTACATTGTTCCAAATTGGCTTCCAAAAGAGTTTTAATAATAATAAAAAATAAAAAAAGATAGTTCATTACATAGTGGCAAAAAGTTATCAGGAAAATTCAGATTTCAAAACAATCTTCTCATAAATTTTTTCATGAGTCTCCATAGTTGCACAATTTCTTCAACATGGGTAGGCGCCGCTGAGAGTAATGATGTGAATGAGAGAGTTAAGAAAACATAGGGTTTCTAATAGGAAATAATATATATATATATATATATATATATATATATATATATATATAAAATAATCAAATAAGGGTAGTTAAGTAATTTCTATATCTAAATGGGGCAGGGCGACCTCCCACCACCCTCGCACCAAACCCGCGCGGGTTTTTGATATATCAAACCATCCCCGCCCAGTTAGCGAAATGGTCCCCCAAAACCGCCAAAAAAGGGGCAGGGTGGGGTGGGTAACCGCGGGGGCGGATCAAATTGCCATCCCTAGTCTTCAGTTACGGGTACTTTACAAAAAGAGACTTTCTGGTTCCTCACATGGTTGGTTGTTTATTGCGGAAAAATCTTTCGCCTTAACCTTAATCAACCCGTTCTCTGGCACTACCATTGAGCTTCCAATTATGGACCCCCATATGTTCATACATGGCGAAGATGAGGATATTGAGATCGAGTATGAATGTGGCATAGAAGCTAATGAGGTTGAGTTTGAAATTATGAAGGTTACATCCTGCCTCATCTCCTAATGACTATATAGTTTTTGCCATCTACAGTGGTATCCGAAGATTGGCATTCATTCGCCCAAGAGACAAAGCTTGGACTTTCATAGATAAAAAGAGATTTACACTCATCTATGATGTCATTTATTATAAAGGGCAGATTTTTGTTGTTGATTATTGGAGTAGAGTCATAATGATTGATGTTAATAGGGGGGATGGGGCGAGTAAGGTTATCCAAGTGAAGGTAATTGCACCGAAGACTAATGTGCATCTTCAGCGGGTGTATCTTGTTGAATCATCTAAAGGAGATTTACTTCTTGTACAAAGGTTTCTAAAATTTGGAAAAGACTCACAACATGCAACTTCAGGGTTTAAGGTTTTCAAGTTGCTACTGGAGCAATTTAAGCAGGGTTGGCCTAAGCGGGTTGGAGTGAAGAGCTTGGGCGGAGACACACTGTTTTTGGGAGATAACCATTCCATTTGTGTTTCAGCTTCCAAATGGCCGGGATGCCAGCCGAATTCCATATACTATACGGATGATTTTATTGACTTTTTTCCTTCTGATCCCCCATCTGGACATTGGAATCTTCAACATAGAGAATAAAAGCTTTGGGACGCATTACATCCTTGATCCTTCGCATAAGCATATGTCACCCTCAATTTGGATTGTGCCAACTGTGTTAGGAAATTAAGTACATAGATTGAATTTGTTTCTAATGCTTTTGGTCAAATCTTTTTCTTTTCTTTTCTTTTTTCTTCTTTTTGCTTATAATTTTATACGGTGAAAAAAATATGTGTATCAAAATGTGAGATGAAGTTTGTAAGACATATAATTAAATATTATTGTGGTTTTTTCTCCTTTATTTTTTATATTATTATATATATTTTCTGAGCTAGAATTTTTTTTTTTTTTTTTTACCTCATAAGAAAGTTAATATCGTTTCTCTCTGTTTAGCATTAATAAGGGCTGGAAATAACAATGAATCATAATTCTTAGATGCTTAACGTGTCATTGCTTGCTAGTTACATGGTGTGACGTTCTTATTGGACCTTTAGGAGACTATTTTACTTCTCGTTTCTATACCTATGCATGAATGCCTTGGTGGGACCATGAGGTTTCTATCTCGTTTTAATATATCTAGACCAAATGTCTTGAGTACCACCATTTAAGCCCGTGTATGCTTGATGGATTGCATTTTCATGTTCTTGAACTCTTCTCGACTTTCCAAAAGCGAAAAAATATCATTAGGTTCCAACTTTTGGTGGTATCACCTGTTGGGGTTGAAACTCACATTTTTCATAATAAAATCGTCAAATATACATACATACATGGCCAGCTCCATCGAGCCATCTTTATATTTGGAAAACCTCTTTGGTGGCAATGACATGGTTAACAAGAACCACCACCAAAAAACTTTGTATCTATGCTTAGCACCAAACAATTCTCATACAATGAGTAATGAATAATAATAGATACACCATATATACTAAAAATGAATTTTGATATATAAGAAAAGACAACAGGGTGCAACACCATAATGCTTTTAGAGGGGCTCATTAAATGTAATTACGAAAATGACTTGAATTACCAATAATTACAAGTATAATAATAATGTATAAATAAGCATCGAGAGCAAGGGGAAAAAAAAAAAAAAAAAATTCCTTCCTCCTGTATAATTTTACAATTAGTTCTGTTGCTACCCAAAATGGGTGCATAAGGTTTTAAAAATTGCTAGTCTTTGGATCTTGATCAATAGTTGTTTTTTGTCTCTCCATTCTGAAATCCCTATTCATCACCAGCAACCACTGAACTCAATTTGTTTATAAAAATAAGAAACTCAGCAACCTCAATTTGTTTATAAAAATAAAAAATTGTGCCAGAGTTCAATCTCGTTCTCCTGACAGGACCTACCTACTTCATCATGAATTTTAAGATCCAACAAGACCCTTGTAGCGAGCATAAGTATGAAAAAGGATGATGGCACAGGTTATCCCTGAGAAGATGACCACCTGGTAATATCAAAAGACAAGTTCGATACATTTAATCGATGTGAACTAATAATTTGATTAGAATCAAAGTCAAAATACCAGCTCAAGTTCCACACATACCCATTTAAACATGTATCCATGATTGTCATTCCAATTATATGGTATGTTGCCGCCAAAGAATAGATGGACAAACTGACAGTTCCTGAACTAAGAAAAAGCTCCAATTAACTGCACCACAAAAAAAAAAAAAAACCGGAGGGGCAAATCCATAATATCAATTAAAATCTCAAAAACAAAGAAAGAAGAAGGCAGAAAGTAAATGTCGACATCTATAGAGTACCAACAAAACCTGAATCAGTTGATTACGATGATTGTCAAGCTGCAAAAGGGATGGAGAGACACATTTAGATCACAAAATTCTTTTTATACCCAACAAATAAACCACATAATTTGAGTATCATGATTCAATTTTCAAGTTTATTACCTGAATGTTTAAATATAATCCTCTGTATCATCAATATATTCACGTATCTGCAAAATTTTAACTGGAGGATTAGTCAAGAGTTTGATTATGCAATAAATGATTCCCTGTAAGAGACTGGTAAATAAATAGAGATTTTGATAATGACACAAAAATTCAACCAAGTTACCCTAATCTGGATGGTAGGACCTTAGCAGACCTTAGAGATGGCAAACCAAACACGGAGAGAAAGGAAGGGGGAAATCCAGCAGAAATATAAAAGAGATAAGTTGGATAACAAATCCTACAAAGGTCAAGATTGCAACAAGCTATTACAAAATTTTACCATGCTGAAATCCAGAAATCAAATTATATTCTGCTCAAAGTCATTGCTAGGTGGAGATAAGAATAAGAGGTCAAGATAACATGACAAAGGTTTACCATGCCAAAATTCAAAATCCAGATATAACTTTTGTGCTTCAAAGTCAATGGAGGTAAATCATGAAATGCAAATTCAATTTAAACCATCACATAAATACATTACATAATTCATACAAATTAGTCAATATATGAACCAAGCACAAATCAACCTCCTATACGCAAAAAGTGAGAATTAACAGGACCATTCAACTATGAAGGGAAACCCAAATACCGCCCCCTTCTTTAGGACAACATCCAACACCATCATAACCACAATGAGAGGAAAAAAGAAAATAATCCACCTTATCTCACCCATTAAACCTCCTAAAGAAAACCCACCAGAGACCATTGAAATAGAATAAACAATTATACATCCACTAAAGAACGTGGGTCCAACACACTCCTCTGTGAATTACATTTTTCTCAAGCAACATCCAAAAAGATCATAGTAGGAACTAGGAATTCCGCATATCAGACTTAACCAATTATTGCAGTAATTATTCTCTCTACACAAACAGCTATAAGAAATTGTCAAATAATTGAATGGAACTTGATACTCATATTCTGAAAAGTCTTGTTCTTCAGCAAGTTGAAGAATCCCGTGTCAGTTTATAATAAAATTCAGTTAAAGATTCTCATATGTATGACAATGCTTCACTAATCTAATCTTCAACAAAACTAAAAAGAGCAACTACATAGATCTCATGTCAATTTATCATTTTAAAATTGAGTTACATATTTCATATTGTCATAATACTGCTTCACTAATCTTCAGCAAAAAAAAAGAACACCTATGTCGGTAGAAATTTTTTCAAGATCATTAAAACTTCCAAAAATTTAACTCATAAAAGACCCCCAAAATTTAACTTTGGCCTCCACTTGCTTATTTATAATAACTTACCACCAATAATACAAACATCCACTGTAATATTACACATTCAAAACATATCTGAATTTGTTTCAGCACTCTTAGTGCACATTCCTTGTAGCTTCTTATAATAAAGAAAATATACTGATAAGCATGACAAATTCAAAAAATTCAACAACACCTACCGTAGTTAATTTGTTCAAGGTTCCATCAATTTGCATAAAGTAAGCCTGCAAAATAAACCACCACTCTCTAAAGATATTATTGTGAGATGACATGGCAAACACAAAGTAAACCAATATTATTACCTCAAGTAACATTTCAAGCTCCTCAACATCATTCTCATCTCCACGAACTGTAACTACACTTGCCCTACTTGCTCTGGATATCTTCAAGCCTATGGTAGGCGAGGAAGGAAAACAAATGGGCAGACCCGAGCCACTTACAGGTGAAAGTTCCCCAGCCAACTTTCTTGACAATTAAATAGAAAAGGAAAAAAATGACAATACAATTCTCACTTTGTTTTGAAAATGGAGTGAATAGAAAAGGAAGAAAATGGATGTTTCAAAACCATAATTCACTTTCCCTAAGAAACATGAACAATATATAACCTCTTTTGAAAGGAAAAGCATAGTCACTACTTAAGAACATACTCATCTCCTTTCCTTCAATGCTTTAAAACGAATATAGTATAACTATCAAAAGAGCCCCCTTATTACAAGAGACATGAGCTCTCTATCTATTAACTACTAGATTGAAACAATTTTTGACGTGTATAAAATCACATCAATATTTCACTGAATCTCTCAATCGTTGGTCAATAAAGAGAGTTCATAAATATAGTCATAAGAGGACTTTCTTGATAACATTACTCATCATGACACGGATGAACCGCCCAAATAATTCATTATTGTTTTTTAGAGATTTGGGAAAAGCTCAAGTTACTTTTAGGGAACACATCTCACTAGCCAAATTAAAAAAACAAAGGTGCTTCTTGAAAAAGACCTACCACCATGCATATCAACTAAACTCTTAAAATGCATTATCCATAATCTCAATTATTCTATTAAAGACTTAAAGTACATCATATTTACCATCATTCATCTCTTTCACAATACCCCCACTGTGCAAAGGGAGGGGGCCCCACAATTCCACAGCAAAATGAGGTAGGCACATATGGTAAAATCTCTTCCTCCGCTTTACCGTGGCAACAAACAATGAAATGAAGTGCCATTCATTTCTTTGTTGTCTTCAAGTTTTGAAATCACACCTTATTTGACACAAATTAGGAGAAGGAGAGGGCAAAAGCAAAATTGTGGCATCTGACTTTGATTGCACTGCCACATAATGCCAAGGATATACATACATACACAATACATACACACACACACACACACACACACACACACACACACACACACACATATATATATATATAAATGGGCGACGATAGATAGGGATATGAAGGTGAGAGACATTTTGAGGCCATTGGGAGTTTGAGGTTCATGACAGGGTGTTTGGTTCAGGTTTGACAAGAGCGGGGGCATCTGGTTGGTGAGTAGGATAGATTAGCTTGGCAGGTGAAATGGGCATAATGCAAAGTGCTTTGGATTGGAGGAATTGCATGGCAGCTCCAACATCTTCTTCCATAAGCTTAGCAACTTCTCGTTCTGTCTCATCATTCGACCACTTATCCCAGTTCCAATTGCATCCACCTTCACTGGTGTCTCCCTAAATATTGGAAAAGCAAAGAAAAGGTTCTGAAGTTAAATAAAGGAAATCTTAAATACAGCTATGACATTTTTTCTTCAAATGGATGTTAAACAAGCAAATTTATCTCTTCTATGTTACCTCAACTGATGGCAGTGGGATGTCGGCCACAAGTTGTGCCACTGCTCCTGCTCCACCTAGCCTACTCATGCTTAAAACCTGCTAAGTAGGTTAATAAATAATGACATGCGGGGATAAATAGAGAGGAGATTAATTATTAACACACCTCATTCAATGCATGGAACTTAATCATTCAACCACAACTGCCTAAAGGTCCGTTGCTTATACTGGTTAAATAATTAGGTTCGTCAGCATATGAATAACCAAGGGCTTGTTTGGCAACCTTTTTTGTTTCGTGTTTTTGTTGCCAAATCAGTCCAAAAAAAATTACCCAAATTTCGAAGCAATCAAGAGATGTTTTCACTTATTATTGCTACGGAAGCGAGTATCTTTTTAAAGAAATGCAATTTAATGTAAATTTCATATATTTTTTACCATCATCCAAACATTTTATTTCGTTCTTTTTTGGCTTTGAAAGATTATGCAACAAATTTGTAACCATATGAATAAATAACAGCACAACAAAAGCATAGCCTCTGCTTCATATGAAGCTGAAAATGCAAACAAAATCGGTTGCCAAATGGGCCCTAATATTAGCACGTGCTAAATCCATCCATCCCAGCATCCCGGATTGGCTGAGCAAACTGTGGGTACTCATTAGAGTAGAAATTGGAGATGACACTGATAAATTCATTGAAGGTTTAACAAATGCGATAGCCTTAATCGGCATTCATGGGAAAACAACTTATGTCTAATGCTTTGAAACCTACATCTACAAGCATTTGGAACTCAATGATGGAGTTACTAATTCAAACTATAATGCTGCAGCTAAAAGGGGGGGAAAATACACAGTTTGAACCATAACGGAAGACTGCTTTACCTTGACTTGGAGCCTTAAGAACTTCACATAATCCAGAATTTCATCAAGCATGGCAGCCCTATCTGTCTGTGGAGAAAAGAAAGTTAAATAAGAACAAATAAAATACTGTATAAGCTCACTATTTCAGCCATAGAGTGATACTTTCTTTAAATAAGTGATTAGTCACATATAATAAGCCCGGACAGTTTCAACAGTAAGCATGTCAAAAGAGGCATTGTTTGGAATCTTAATATTAGGCATCCAAAATACATACGGATCCTAAGAAAGATAGATAAGTATATAAATAAAATGAGAAAGAATAGGCCCGTTGTAAATGAATAAACTATCTGGACATTGTTTGGAACTCTGGACATCATAATCATATACAATGATAGCCATCCCTTGCTTGACAATACCACAACATGCCTATCATATATAGATTTCAATACCAATAATAAATTATATGCAAAAATTACTTAATTAAAAGAATAGAGCTTATCCGGTCAGTCGATCCTTGCTTGAAGCTGTTCCATTACTCATAACAAAGATTTCTATTTATCAGGGTAAAAAGGGTGTCAGCTGAAGTCACATGATGTCCAATAATACATTAAACTTGCATTCAAGCTAGGAAATAATCTAGTCCATAATCATCTATGAAGGAAAAGATTATAATCTTTGGCCAAATGCAAACATATTTAAAAGAATAGGGCATAACTGACAGAAGAAAATGGAAAAAGCAACTTCCGAAAGATAAAACTGTTTCTTTTAGCAATAACAAATTGGCACAGACCTTGTTGCAGCAGGGACCAAGTTCTTGCAAAGCCTTTATTCTCTCTGCTATCCTTTCTCTACGCAACTGTTAAGGAGAAACAGGGCTGTTAATGCAAAGCAACGGTAAAAGGAAACAATATGCAGAGATAAATCATAAAAGCCTAAAAGTAATGGTAAAACCTTTTTTTCCCCCTTCTAGGACACACTTGAGCATAGGGACAAAGCCACCCTATGCTGAGTCTGGAAAAAAAATTATTTATATTTTATACCTATAAGTTTGTTAAAATCTTATCAATGTCCTCACAAAATAATAACTAAAACCTTACATTTATAAATCTGCCACCACAGAAGTTTTAGTTTTCACACTTATGACCCTCGCTCTGTCGTTTTCACACTCTCTACACCTCTGCTCCCCAACGACTGTAGCCCATCAACTCTCTCTCTCTCTCTCTCCCTCTCCCTCGTGTGAAGAATGTAATTGTTGGCTTGTTGTTCATGCAACGTTTTGAAAATATGAAAATTCATCAACAATGATGGTAAGTGTACGCAATGAAAATATCAATTAATGTTAAAGTAGTTTTGATTATCCCCCAACCCCCAACACGCACACACACATAAAAAAATAATTTTCTAGCTCTGTCACCACTCGAGCACATACTTTGTCCCATTCGGAACTTGAACCCTCAACCTCTTCAGAAGATACAATACAAGCTAATGCTTGATGGTAGTAAAATCAGATATAGTAAGATAACTAATGCTCTTCCCTCACTGGTCACCGTAATAAACGCATATGTAATGATAAGATTATATTCTAATGAAAAGTTTCATTGCATTCCTTACTCTCGTAGCTCACTCTTTCTTTTTCATATCTCATCTAATCTGTTCTAAGAAAGCTGGGATCCCCCTCTCATTATATGAGGGGAGCCTGAGCTTCATTTACAATGGCTTCTAAAAGTAGAACTGTTCCTTAGTAGCTAAGGTAGAAAGCTAAAAGCAAAAACTTTCAAAGGTTTCTATACCCTCGTAACTCACTCTTTCTTTTTCATATCTTCTATAATTTGTTCCAGGAGAGCTGGGATCCCCTTGTCTCACTGGCCATATAAGGGAGTCTGAGAGTCGTTAACAACGGCTTCTAATATCAGATTTAGTAAAGATAATCAAAGCTCTTCCGGTCTTCCCTTACTGGTCACCATAATAAATGCATATGTAATGATAAGATTATATTCTAATGATTTGTTCATCAACATACACATTTTTCTTCAAAATATTCATCCTTTTTTTGCCTCAATTGTTTCAGCTACATCACATATCATATATTGTTTCCTTTCCATAAAAGAATCGTTTAACCAAATATGCATTGCAAACCAACTTTCTAGATTACCATTATATTTAATTTAAATTACCCCGTTCAGCTATACTATGGGGAGCTGTGGCTTGTCCCCGTCGAGCTTGCACCCTTGGACAGATCGCAGGTGGGTGTGAAATGGTTACAGTTGTACTGGAAGCTGGTCGGCCATGCAAAGGCTGCAAAAGAAAGCACGAGGCATAGGCAATTATATAACTAAGAATTGAAGGTCAGAATAGAAAAAATAAAAATAAAAATAAAAAACAAAAAGTCGAAGTAAATCTTGGGACAAGTCTATCTACACACACTTTGGAAACTTTTGGACAGGGCAATCCAAAACCCCGGTATTCGCTTTAGTGGGATGTGTTATTTTCATATTCAACTTGAACCACAAAGTTGCAACTAATGGATTTTCAAGATTTGGAGCTTAATCGGATGACCATATGTTTGATTAAGATATGCTCTACTTCCTCTATAACAAACTTATTGGCTTATTGACACGTTCAGTGACTCGATAACTTTATTTTACTGATAAAAAAATCCCTTCTACACAGCAAGGAACCCTTTGCAGCTGCAAATATTGTCTTGGTCTCCATGATAAAAATTATGAACACTGCTACTACATATTTGCCCCCCAGCATCGAAAAAAAATAAACTGCATGAAAATTTATTTAACCTATCTGAACTGGATGATCTTTTATGATTTGTATTCTTGAGGTATATATCATGTCTGTATATGTTTTACATCAGCTACTACCAACCACAACACTGCTTTCTAAGGATGATCAGGAGTTATTCTAAAATGGTTCTGAGCAAAGTATAAATTCGAAGGAGTGACAGATTAAGTAAGTGCTAAAGGTATTGAAGGACAAGAGGAAGGCAAAGAACAGCACAAAGTTCAAAGTTGTTAGAAAATAATACACACACATACATACATATTGTGGTATAGTAGTTGTAAAAAAAAGAAAAACCTCCCATTGCACTCCATCTTTCCATTCAATTGATTTCTCTTATCAGTTTCTCATCGCTGAAGCAATAAGTTTGTAACATTTTCTCAGATGATGAAAGTATATTATGACCTGGATGCGCCCGCTTGACATGGTAAGGTAGCTCTAGTGTCACGGTTCAAAACCGAAAACAGCTTCTTGGGTAACGGACCCTCTCTACACACTGCAATGGTCGGAGCCTCGTGCAGTGGACTATATATCCTTGTGTGTGTGTGTGTGTGTGTGTGTGTGTGTGAAAGTATAGAAGAATTGGGGACTATACGAACCTGCTGAAAGTGAGGAGCAGTGTGGCGGACTGAATGAGGCTGTAAATGTTCAAACGCCGGAAACAAGCTTGCCATGTTTGTAGGGTCTCTCTCCTGAAAATGCAGCACAGCAAAAAGACTCAATCACCGTGCACCTCTTTATAAATTGACGCCCATGCCCTACCCAACGGCCGTGAACCAGCGTTTATTGTGACCCGCACAAGCACAAAAAAGACCTTAGGGCACAATAAATTCCAAGTGCAAAACGGTAAATTCATGACTTACACTCCTCCCTGTAAAACCTCCGCCATCAACGTCCTCTCGGCCGTTATCTAAGCTCAACCCCAGCGGAAACAGCTGCTGCTGGAATCCATCGCCGGGGGCGACGTAACTGGAGCTGGGTTGAGACACCGTCTTCAACGGCGCCGTTTGCGCTGAGTTCCCCTCGGTTCCCGCCAAGCCACCATAACAGAGATCAGTAGGAGATTAAAATTTTCGGTGGGAGGTGAGTCAAATATATAGTGTTTGAATTTGAGTGAAAATTTCAGATATACAGGAGAGAGTTTTGAGGGGCAGGAGATGGTGTGGTGTCGGAGAGAGAGGTGACAAATTAGAGTACTGAGGATTCTCAAAGTGAAATTCTCTGTTTGACATTGCTTTGCTCTTGAAGGCAAATCCTTGTCTCGCTTCAGCTGGGCTTTTGAAAATAAAATTTTTAGTGCTGAATTTTATTTATTTGGATAGTGGTAGAAGCGTAATTTTAAATTAATGGAAGGGTGATGGTGCTTTGTATATAATATAAATGATATATGGAAAACGTAAGCGGCTTGCGAGTGTCCATTGTCATTTATATTCAAAACACCATCACCAGTATTTGTTTTGCGAGTGTCCATGGTCATTTCCTTTTGTCTATAATATAAATGATATATGGAAAACGTAACTTCACGTGATGTTAGTATTTTATTTTTGGGTTAATTTCACTTACATTCTTTTAAGTTTAGTCAAATTTTACATTCAAATATCTTTCGAAAATAATTATTCCTTAAGTTCATTTCTACTTTTTCGTCACAGTGTCCGTTAAAAAAATATAAAAAGATAACTTTGCCCCTAATTTTTTTAATCCCATATATTTTAAAATATCTGTTTACTTAAATTATTATTATACCCTTAATGAATACTGTCGCTACTAGTCCCCGGAATTAGATGTCGGAGCTTTCTCTTTCTACCAACTCATCACCCAACAGTTGCCGAAATTAGTACACGGTTGTTGGACCATTGGTTCAGCGATCATAACAACTATTGGGTGGACCGCCATGTTGGTATTGTTTATCAGTACACATAAAGCCTCTTCTATTTTTATTTTTATTTTTTCTTCTTTTGCAAAATTGAATATTTTGTTGTAAAAATCAAATATGGTATCGGAACAAGGAACAAACCGAAAATTCTATGGTGATGCGGTTATGAGTTTACTATATGAAGGAAGCTGAACCATAGCATAAAAGGGTTTATATTTGAACTATAAGAAGCTTCTAGTTTTGAATTCATCCCTGTAGTTGGGATGAAGAAAATGTAAAAGCAAGAACTACCAGACGCAGGTCACACTTGACTACAGGATGACCTTACTGGGACACTTGGTGGACTTTGATGAGAGAAAGTGTAATGTCCCGAATTTTTTTGCGTTTTTTTTTTTAATTTTTATTTTATTATTTATTTTTTGTATATCGTTTTGCGTACCGTGTGGGTCTCGGTATTATTTTCCATAGCATGTGTATACTTAGTAATATGATGATGTGTTTTATATATGTTTATACATATATAGTTATATGACTTGAGGTTGAGAGGGATAGTTTATGGCATGGCACGAGAATTTTGTGAGCATGGAGGGCATTTTTGACATTTGATGTAATGGTGGACCTTTGACCACATGAGAGCCATTTAATTTGGAGGAGACGAGGTCAATATATGACCACAAATCTCATTTCCTCTCCCTCACTTTCAGCCACACTCCCTTTCTCATCCATTTTACTTCCTCTCTCTAAAGTCTCAAACTTCTCTTTAGATTTTGAGATAGCTAAAGTGAAGTCTAGGAAGGGAGCAAAAAGGAAGGTTGTTCTACTCTTCAAAGTCTGCATTTCTATATCGGTCTTGCATGCATTTGGGGATTTTCGAGTTGAATTTATTGGCATTGGAATTACTTTCTTGAGGTAGGGAGGTCTAGCTCATTATGCTATGCCTTCTTTTTGAGCTTAATGTTTGATTTTTTGAAAAGCATGATCTATGTGTTTATGTGATAAAATTATGTGTAAATGTGATCTTTTCTTGAAAAGCATGATTTATGTGTTTATGTGCTAAAATTATGTATAAATGTGATGTTAGTTGTGTATTTGAAGGTAAATTGTTGAGAAGTATGATATATGTATACGTGTTTTCTTGAGAACATGTTTATGACGATGATAATTGTGATGAGCATGATAGCTTAAATTAATGGAATTGCAAAGTATGGAAATTATTAATATTGAAAATGCATAATTCCATTCATGGCATGGACGTGGTTGGGGAATTTGGGGTGGAAAGGTCATTACACGATTTGTGTTGAAAAGTTTTATGGAAAGAAAGAATGTTTAAGTGTTTTGAAAGGAAAAAGGTTTTGGGAAAAAATAATTTTGTGAAAAGAGCCAAGTTTCGCGAGCCCGAGGCTAATTCGACCTAGAGAGAGCGATTGCCGGATTTGGACGTGTAACGTTGATTGCTAGGCCCCAAGTAGTTGCCGGATTTGGAACTAGGGATGACTAATTAATCTCGCCTCAGTAAAGTCGGTTAGCGATTTTTTTTGTGAGTTTGGACGGATTGGAACCGTGTCGGGATGGTGTTGCATTCACGTCATTATTGCATTCATATGCATGGTTTAGTTTTGTGAAAAATATGTTGTGAATGTATTATATTGATTGCGGTTTTGACATTCCAATTAATGATCTCGACTTCTTTCTCTCCCATTTCTTGCTTGTCGACTCAAGGGAGTCCAAAGCCGGTGCTTTAGGCCCTTTTTCTACTGAGTTGTTAAGCTCACCCCTTATTTTTAACATTTTCAGGAAAGCCAGAGAAGATTTGGCGTAAGGTTTGCAATTACGGACTTAGACAACGCTATGATGTTTATTATATTGTATTGTAACCTTATATTTATGGCTACGACGACCTCGTTTATGTACTTAATTCATTGAAATTGTGTAAAGACGATTCATATATTTTGATTCACGAGAAATGTATAAAAGATGTTATTTTAACGATTCTATGAAATGTTTAGGGGTTGATGATGTTCATGGAGTTTTTATTTCATGTTTAGATGTTTTTGGATTGTGTTGGAATGGGTTTGGGAAGCAAGAATTTCGTTATTTTCATCACTGGGTATCATCTAACCGGTTAGATAGGGGTATTTACCCGGTTAGATGAATGGGCAGTGTGTTGGTTTGATGGGTTATTCTCATCTAACCGGTTAGAAGGAGTTTCCTAACCAATTAGATAGGCTTTTGTGTGTTCACCTATCTTCTAACCGGTTAGATGGGATATGAAATCTTGTAAGCCTACTGGACCATTCATTTACCCGGTTAGGAGAAATCTTCTAACCGGTTAAATGAACTTATGTTTTCACAAGGACTCCATATTTTAATATAATTACCCAATGACCCCTATACTCCAACTAAAGTATAGAATGACCCTAGAAAATGACAGAATGACCCCAGAAGGGTATGAATGTTGTAATTTGACCAAAAAATGACTATTTTGGCCCTGCGAGTTTTCATATCACTATTTGGCCATGGTAAAAGTCTATTTTACCCTTTTTGGTTTATTATTATTATTTGATAAAGTAAAATGACCTTTATACCCTAATGAGTTGTGAAGCTATAATAAATGTACCAAATGACTGGTTTACCCTTGTTAGACCTTAAACCATTATTTGACCATAGGTGATGACCAATTTACCCCAATAGACACTAGAATTATTGTAATGTCATGAAATGACTATAGTACCCTTGCATAACCTCGGGTTCAGGTAAGGACCAGATTAGCGATTCGGATCCCCGGGTTTGAGTCTTACAGAAAGACTCACACCTCAGGTCGATTTATACTTCCAAAGGGATATCCGCCATGTTTGGTGGCGAAAGTGGGGGTTATAAAAGCAACCATGGATGGCGATGACTGTTGTCTGCTGGTCACAACTTTACTTGAATGGTAGTGCAATGACAGCATCGAAAACTAAGTTTAAGCCATCGAGATTGATATCGGCGACAAAACAATTGTTCTGGTGTGGATTTGGCGCGGGGAGGACAAAGACGACGGTGGCACCGGTCGTGGCGAGGAAGGAAGGAGAGGCGACATACAGGATATATATATACCTATATATATATATCAAAATTAATATATAAAAATATTAGTATATATACATATATATATATATATATATATATATATCAAAGTTAATATATATATAAATATTAATATATATACATATTCATATATATATATATATATTTAATTGTCAATTTGTAAAGTATTTAGGGATATTATAGTCTTTTTATTTAATATTTTATGTTAGATAATACTTTTGACAAAGTCAAAGGGTATTTAAGTCATCTTACCTAGTGTCAGAGCTCAGTACATGACGGTTGGAGTGTGATTGAAAGACGGAACAAACGTTTGTAGTGTGAGTGATAGTTATTTTTGAAAGATATTTAAACATGATATTTAGCCCTTTCTTTTTTCGTTTTGTTTTAACTTCACACGATGGCTAGTTTTCTATTACAAAGTGCATGGGAATGTTGGTTTGTATCACGTTGAATTACAAAGTGTATTGATTTGTCATTTTAAAAATAGTTATTAATAATTCATAAAATAGAAAATAATTTATAAAAGTTATTTTTTTAAAAATATGTCTTAATAACTGAATTTTTAAAAAATTGAATTAAATCTATAATTTTTTACAATTATTATTTTTTATTTATTTAAAATAAAAAAACTGTTTTCTAAGTATACATCCTTCCCCTTTGGTGGTGGATGCTGGAAATTGAGAACGTGTGAATTAGAGAGAGAGACAGACCATAGTTGTAGAGCAGAGAGGAACAAAACTGAAAATCTATAAAATTTTGGGGCAAAAGTGGAAAATAGGTTAAGATTTGAGGTCAATAGCAGAAAATACAAGAACGTGGCGACGCGTTAAAAACAGATTTCCACATTTCAAAAATAACTAGGGTTAGGGTTTTTAGCGACTAGACAACAAAGTGAAACCAGAAGAGTTTTTGGCGACAGAGTGAGAGAATGTCGAAGAAGAACAACTTAGCTCTCAGAAGGAAAGCGCACGAATTCGACCTCAGAAGTAAAAATCTTTCAAATCCTTTTCTCTCTTTTCAGTATATATAAGCATAGATATTGCACGTATGTAATCATCTTATTCAGTTTGTTCTTTTTTGTGTTTGGCAAATTAGGAGAGAAAGAAGAGAGAGAAAAGAAGGCAATGAAGTTGCAGGCGAAGAAGAACAAGATGAAGGTATATCTCTATCGTTCTCTCGTTGCTGTTATGCTTTGTTTGTCAAATGCACTATTTTAAATTTTTGTTTAGCTCTTTTGGTGAATTTCATTCTATCATCTAATTTTGTTTCATTTTATAAACTATCTGTAGTTTATTTCATGAGAAGCTAGACAATAATTAGAGCAGTATTTCAATACATACTTGGTGTATTTGAAAGGAATAATGGTTCAAAGCAAGAACTAAATTGGCTAGATAGGTGTGAAATTAACCTTTTTTTATATATATAATACATATAGTTTTTATAATTTAGTTCGTTTTTTATTGTTTTGAAAGTATTGGTGTCTGGGAATTATGTGCTTAGGTGGATGGTAGTGGCAAGAAGAAAAAGAAGGGTGCAAGTGGTTTTCAAGTTAGGAAGAAAAAGGTGAAGACCAAACTGACGGCCTTGGCTAAAGCGAAAGCTGCACAGGCGATGGAGGTTGACAAATGAGGTTCTACATGATTCAGTTAGTTATATTTTAATAGTTATCAGTTACAGATGGTATGCTACAAGATTTTTTGTTTCTTTTGTGGTCTGTAACTTAACATGTTTATATATGGTATACAATGGCATTTTGGTCTTCCTTTTTGCGTGGTCCTGTTTTTGAATTGATAGTTTATATCGCGTTTCAAACAACATGAATGGTAACGGCTTTGGCGCAGTTATTGTCTAAAGTAGGTGGCAAGGGTTTTGGTTCTATTGTCTGACAAAAAGAAAGGAGAGTGAGAGGCAGAACAGAGAGTGGAATCTTGTAAATGCCTTAAAAATCAAGAGTGACATGTTGTGGGCATGTCTATAGACTCTATAAATTTATAAGGGAAAGAGAATTGATGTCTTACAAAAATACTCAATAATGTGGTAGGAGGTTGTGGTTCAGTAATAGTTACCCAAGTTGTCCTGTTGTTAACATTTCCAGCTCCAAGCCTCTAACTACCAGTGTAGTGCCAACACCTTAATTATGCATGTAATTTAAAACTTACGAGTGTCGAGCTTGGAGAACAATTAGCTGCCAGTCTGTCAATTCCGATGTTGAATATGAGGACAGCACTAAGTGTGTGGAATTAGTTGATGAAGTCTTCTCCAATTCTGGTTTACATGTGCAAACCATAGTTTTCCATATTGGCCTAGTTTTTGTGACTTAGCCTAGTCCGAAACTGTGAGAATCAAAATCACTCAAGAGTCAACTGAGTCCCTAGGGAATCGGTCGAGTCTCATCCGAGTCCCTGGGAAATCAACCGAGTCAGCACATTTGATATTGTGCAACGTTGAGAAAATTTCATGACCTCGACAACTGATCCCATTACGCTATTCCCGATATGGCCCCTTTTCATTACATCTCGTCTGCTGCGTTGGCGGCCGCGTCTGCTTCCTTGAGTCCTGGTGCAAAATAAATTTCCTTGAATCATTTTTATCCGCTAATTTTTTTTCTACAATCAATAAATATGAAAATTGCTTATGAAAGTAAACCATAGTTTTAATTACTATATAGGCAAGGAAATATTATGGTGGGAGAGCTTAATCTTTAGCTTGCCACAATTGGGCGATAGAAGTGTTTTTGCATCAGCATCCCCCGAACCATTTTTCCCTATTAGCAAGCTTTCAGAATTCTTTTTTCCCTTTGGTTTGGATAGGTGACCCCCAAATTACCACTAGGCCAAGCCACTGGTTGAAATGATAGTGTATTGTTTTGTGAGGTGATTTTTGCATAATTTCTGTTTTGATGGATGAATATGGTGCTAGATAGTATTGTGTGGCATTCCTACAAGTGTTTTATGATTGTAGAAGATACGGGAAACCATTTGATGCAATGATTACATGGTTTTCTGTTCACATGTTCCACCTGCGAGCTATATATATTGATGGCTACTAGGACAACCTGTTGCGATCATGTGAGTAGTTAAGCTTGATGTTGTCATGACTTAAAAACTCAGCACTTGGAGTTATGGTCATAGAGTCTGCTTGATGCTTGTAGGTGCAAATAAAATTTGAAGATTTGATGTTTCTGGAACTGTGCAAGTTGGAATCAAGCCTTTCACTTTAAAGATAATCATTGCTTGAAGGTGAGGCAAAGCTAAAGTTCTCTTGGAAAGGAGACTGACATTTCCTAATTGCAAACATAAAACACTCATTTTGAATAACGGTCAAAGATGAAAAATGAACATTATAAAACACTTAAAATTGGATAATTGGAAGTTTAGAACCTAATATTTCAGAAGCATGAAGTATTTAATTCCCTTCATGGGATTTTGAATATTGAATTTTGGAATTTAATGGATAGTGGTAGTATGGTAGTGGTATAGCGACTCAATGGATATGGTAGATTTCCTGTGTCTGAATGCAATAGCAATGCTGTGGTGGAGGTGGATATGATGAGGAGGGCAGCATTTGTGTGGTGAGGTATAGATGAAAGTGAGGTGGACGTGGACGTAAAGGTGGTGGTTGCAATGGTAAGAAGCGTCATGGTCCTGTAGAGATGGTCTTAGTATTTGTGATGGTAAAGATTGTAGTAGTGAGAAGCAAATTGCATCTCAATGTAATGAAGGTGGGAAAGGTGGCAATATTGAAGATGGTAATGATGGCAAAAGTGAAGGTGGTAATGGTAGTGACAGCAAGTGCTAGTGATGTAAGGGGGGTATTGTGGAAGTTGAGCTAATGGTTTAGGTAGAAATAAAGGTGCTGGGATGGATGTTGCTTGAAGAATTTCTTAGGACGGTAGCTAAAATAAGTTGGATTTAGAAGTCCTAACTAAAGGCTTAGAATTGTCAAGTTATGTTATATCATGGAGTTCATAGTCTTTAGAAATTAGGCTCATCTAAATAAGGTAATAACGTCTTTGATACTTAGAACCAAGAAGTTTTTTGTCTCTTATTTTTTTTTAGGTGCAAGTGAAATTCAAGGATACTACTGGTTTAGGAACATTGCATTCAAGCCAAGATTCCAGATCCTTGCATTCAGTTTTTTGAGAATACATTGGACCTCATAGAAAAAGAATTTGATGGAAAAGCTTATCTAAACTACTTTGAATCACCAATAGTTATACCAAGCTTTCCTTCCATGCCAAAATACAAATCTTTCTACATCATAAAGGCAGAAGAGTTCTCTCTTGATGCTTGCATGTTTGACTCTGCAGTTAAAGAGATACCTCCAGTTGTTGAAATTTCTAATATTAGGTGGCTGTGACAAGGATACACAAACATGGTCAAACAGAGACGTATATTCTATAAAAGTAGGATAAGTACGTGTCAAGATTCCGCAAAAAAAGAAATACATTTTAATATAGATTTATGCTATACAGGGAAAATGCATTTTTTATATGGATTTAGTCATGTCGTCTTCTACTACCATGTTTCAAAAACATTAATAAGGGATTCCCTTGAGAGTGTTGGAAAAAGGTTGCCTTTAATCTTTTGTGTGTGTGTGTGTTTTTTCTTTCCTTGCAAACTAGGGGGAGGGGGACTCAAACATGGACACGCCCGAAAAAACTAATTTTATAATTTTTACTTATAAAAAAAAGTTTATCTTTTAATTATGAAAGGGTACCTAACTCTTTGAAGACACTGCTTATTTAATATTTGAGCCATTAGACAGAATAAAGAAATGACTAGTATTCCATTAATGACGAGTGGGATTTCTTAGTCAAAACAACACTTATAAAACCCAGGTCTACCTGAACCCCACAGATCATTCCTCAACAAATAAATATAGGTTTAGTGTTCTTTCACCAACCAACATAACATTTACTTCTAATTGCCCATGTCATTTTCTGTGTCTAATATTCTTTTCCACTTTTGGAAAATGAATGATTCTTTAGGAAAGCGACTGATTTATGTTAATAATCTTAACTAATTCTCAGGATGGTTTTGTTAGTTTCCATCAACCTTGGGTTGTTCTTTATCTCACTTTTTTGATTGATAAGATCTGAATTATTTTAAAGGAGGTGATATTACTTGCTTCAGAGAAAGCTTACCTTTATTATATATACTTGTCATTTTCTTTTTATTATAACAACAGAATGAAGTGCAAGTGCAGGAGGCTCTTTTAGATCCCAAATATAAATTCCTTTGCTCTTTGCCCTATCATATTATCAATATAATACAATTGAAGGTATTGTTGTATTTGCTGTACTCTTTTAGAGCACAATATAAGTAATGGTGGATGTGTATGTGTAAGGCCACTGATTGTGGTCTTTGCTGCTGCATAATATTGGTTGATGATGGCACCTCATAGTTCACCATTGGGCACATGCAGACCCCACCCCACATGCACCGGGCACCAAGGAGATTTGAACTCCCGACCTCATAAACTCCCAACCGCCGGTGGGATATGAGGTGAGAGCTACACTATTCCTTTAGGGTCATGATTGTTGATTTAAGGCTCCCTTGTGTTGCAATTTTAATTTTGGGAGGAGACATTTATGAATGGTGAGATATATTGCTGAGAGTGTGAATGGGACAGGCAAGAAAACAATAAAGAGATTGTGGAATATGATGCCATATTGCCCACTCAGAAAATCACAAAAATCACAACAATTTGATCATCAAGTGCATGCAAGTGATGACATCGACACTACTTTGATCAAGCCCCACATGGGCAATGAGGATCCAAGTGCCCAACCCACAAAAAGCTATAAGGGGGACCTTCATTTGCCGCCCATCACTTTTCCTTCTAATTCAATACCATTTAGGCGCAAACAAAGAGTAAATAACTAAATAAGGCTCATATTTCATTGATATGAAGAATCTATTTGGACGCCTATGAGATCAAAATGTCATTTCATCTTCCTTTTCCTTTTCATTTCTTAGTTGTTCATCTTCCATTCCCTTTTCGTAGGACCAAACAGAGCTGCTTATATCTTACTGCGATAGCATACATCTTTATTTTGAGTAATGAATGCCCCATTTGTCAGTATTGGAATTGTGTCTGGATATATATATTTATTTTTGACAAAAACACGAACACTCAGCCCAATGCATGAATATCACATTTATTAATAAAATATCCAATAAATAATAAATAATTGGTTTATTTATTATTTATTAAAATAAAATATCCAATAAATAATAAATAATTGGTTTATCCAAATGGGGTGATTCTTGAGCCTAAATTTATGGATTTTGAGTTAGCTTTCTAATGGTACTAGTTCCATTCTCAGATTCCAATTATAGTGGGAATTATTTATGTTTCAGTGAGAGGGTGTCAGTTTTCGCTTGAACCGGGAGCTTTGTCTTTACGAAAATTTGAACCTTCAAAATTTATTTATTTTTAAATGGCTAGGGAGTACAAGTACTAGCCATATTGGGCCTCAGGGGGATGCTCACTTTTGTCCTTGCGAGAATTTGAACCATTCATCTTTTAATTTAGATGGCATGGAGCTTGCTTGGACCCAAATAAGGACTACGTATATAATTTGTGTCTTTCGATTTTTTTTTCCCCTTTATGAAACACCGCTAGCTGGCGTGATATATATATATACTCTCTTCATCCAAAAATAGTTATTCATCTTTTCATTTTGGGATATCCTAAAAACCATATCCTATTTCAAAATTGAATGTATTATTTTTTATAACATTTTCAAACTATCATTTTAACTAAATAATTGGGCTAATTACGGAACACTATTTTGTCTTTTAATAAATACATATTTGAAACTCCACTCTTATTAATATAATAAAAAATTATTAAAACTTCACTTCTATAAAAAGTTAGATTCTCGTTATGAGATGGAGGGAGTTTTTTTATACATATATAATTTGTAAATAACTATTTTGTGTCCCTTAAATTAAATTCTGGTTTTTTCTTATGTCACCCGTCTTTGGTCATTGAATTTTTAAAAAGTTCGTATTAGAAAGTAAGACGATAATACGTAATATAATTATACACTACAGTGTACCTTTAAAGTTGGAGTTTGTGATCCGAAACATAACCAAAACAAAAAGAATCCCACAATTCAATAGAATATGACAATATGCTTTGAATGTCAATGGGAAGTTAATAAAATATTAGTATGTAAAAAAGGGTGTGAAGAGTATATATAGTACATTAATTATATATAATAACATTATATAAAAAGTGGGAATAAATGTCAAAGTGTGAAGAGTGTATATAGTACATTGATTATATATAATAATATTATATACAAATTGGGGGTAAATGTCAAAGTGGCAAATGAAAGGGCAAAGCAATATTGCCACTTATATCATGGAGATATTTTATTTTATAGGATTTGAATGATGGAAAAGTAAGATAGCCAAAAAGTCACATGAAACAAAGCCTACCCTATCCGGTCAAGGGCCCCAAATTCATTTTCCCCCAGTGAGGTCACCTCAATTGTCCACTTGTCATGGTCCTTCTACCTTCCCACGCGACTTCTACGAGCGTGTGTCCAACGCTATATTTCACTTTTGAAAATGGGAACAAGGTTATCATTACCTGACCCGTGACTAGTGGTATCTGAACCGGCTCGATTCCTGATGGAGCCTTATGTCAAACGTCCAAAAAGACATTTTGTAATCTTCCGGTGTTAGGGTGGATGAGCAGCAGCTAGCGCTAACTCACCCTTCTTCTTCCCTTTTATTTTATTTTATTTTTTTTTTTTTTAGTGGGTATCACTTTCATATTCTATACGTGTTTTTATTCAAATTTTTATTATTTATGATATATTTTTGTCGTTTTAAGACTTTTGTTCTCAAATTTGCTCCTGTTTTATATGGCTTAAACTCAGGGTGGTCGGAGAAGGATAATGTATTATCTTACATTAATTGATAGTATGAACAATTGGACGAAAAGGAAACGAAAAGAAAGGATTAGCAATGAATGTTTTTAATGAAACTCTGTTAATACTAAATTTACTCTTATTTTTATAAAAAGAAAACCTCTATTAAAAAGGGTATGATTGTAAATTTAATATAATAGTTTCATTTAATTGTTATTCTAAACGTGATTACTATCATTTCTTTTATTTTTCTTTATTAATTAACCGGACACTACAAACAATTAATATTATCATTTCCTCTCCTCTCCTTCCTTTTCCTTTTTTTTCCTATTAATGAATGTTATTTTTTTTTTTATTTATTTTTCACTGTACAAAACAGTCTTAAAAATCCACTGTTTTCGATGTAGTTTAGTAAAAAATTTTTTAGTAGGTCTACAGTTGGCTTTTAACTCAGTTAAAATAATTTTTTATAACTACTAAAATTACCTTTTCAAAATTTATATTTTTATGATTGACATAATTAAGATCAACTAACGGATTGAACTTATTACTATAATTAACTTATGGTAAAAGTTACAAATGTTATGAAGTCTAAGAATAATTATCTAAACTCTAATGATGATGGTATCTATATTGGCACATCGGTGATGTCAATAAGAGACTCTTATGAAACTTAGATCGTATAACCTTGTTTTATCAACCAAAAAAAAAAAAAAAAAAAATTGTAAAGTGAAAAAGGCAAAAAAAAAAAGAAGAAAAGAAACAAAAGAAAAAGGTTTGAACAAAATTTTTTAATAATAAAAAAAATTTGTGATTGTTTTGAGTCTAATGGTTGCGCGTGGAATAGGAAAAAAAAGCGCGTGGGATTGGATTTCGTATTTTATTTTATTTTGTTATTTTCCATATTTTTCTTCACAACAAATATCAGTATTATCCATGAAGCGCTCTTTTTCTGTTCGACTTTTGTTTGTATCTCTCTCTGAATCGTAGTAAAGCGTCACTCATCACACAGTACACATAGACACAGAAGTTTTAGAGAGAGAGAGAGAGAGAGCGCTCTGCCCTAGGAAAAAATGCATTCAGATAAGGACTTGTAACAGTTGTAGTAGTTCACCAATTTGCTCTTCTGGGAACTTCTCAGAGTCATTAACTTTCGGCCACCGATCGTCAATTTCATTTCATTTCATTTCAATCTCTAAATTCAAATTCACCAATTTCAACGAATTTCATTTCACTTTCTCTCTTTGCCCTTGAAATTCACACATTTTCTCTCTCTAACTTCAAGCTTCACACCATCAATTCTTCTTTCTTTTTACCCGTTTGTTGCTTTTTGTTGTCCCAAAAGTAGGAATTTTTTTAGCAATTCAGTGGCATTGATTAGAACCCTTTCTTGTTTTTTTTTTTTTTTTTTTAGAGGTATGCTTGGAGTTTAAGATTGTAATACTGGTTGGTGAGAGACTGAGAGTGACAAAACCAGTTTGGTCTTTGCTCTTCTTTTTCTTCAAAATGAAGCCTTTTATGTTTCTATGGTTTGGTAAGACGTAAATTTAGCTTCAATTTTATGCCTTTCTTTAAATACTTATCCTTTGAATGTGAACTGTTTTTCTCTTGCTTGTTCTGTTTCTGTTAGTTCTGTTTAGACTGTTTATATTTATTCTTGTGTTGGTCTCCTAGTAATGTCATGTTTCTGAAGAAGGATAGTCTAGGGTTTTTTTCCTCTTAATTATTTATATTATTTTGGTACTTTTGTTCATAAATTTTGTTATATATATGTATATATATTTCCTTTTGAAATAATTATTCCACTTGTAGATTGATATGGAGCTTGACCTTGTATTTTGAATGTTTGGTTGAGGGTTTTTGTTGTTCAGTTGTGGTTGAGTCTTAGTGTGTGATTCTTATGGTGAACATTCCACTTCATCTTCTTCCATTGTTCTTATAAAATTTTGTAATATTTTTTACAAACAAGGTACATTGTAGAAACTCTTTTTAGTGTCCAGGAATTGGGGTCTAATCAAGTCATCATGTTTATATTTTGTGCATTTTTGCTGTAGCGTTGCATTGTAAAGAACATTAGAGCAGAGAGGAGATTTCTAGATTTTACTCAGAAACTGATATTGTGGATTGGATTGGAGTTTTGGGTCAAAGTTGGTCTAGATTATTTTAGGTAGAAGTTATTTGAAGTAAATGAATGGATCGGAGAGAAGCTATGGGGTTATCTGGGTCGGCTTCTTACTACATGCAAAGAGGGATGACTGGGTCTGGGATGCAGGGATCACCGAGCATACGCCCATTATCTAATCCCAGTGTACCATTTCAATCAAACATTGGGGGCAGCTCAATTGGATCCACATTGCCAATAGAGACTTCATCAGCAATATCACCTCATGGTATTAATATGGGTGCACCATCTGTTATGCCATCTGGTGAGCCTGTTAAAAGGAAAAGGGGAAGGCCTCGAAAATATGGACCTGATGGGTCGGTGTCATTGGCTTTATCTTCATCATCATCTACACCTCCAGGAACAATAACTTCAACCCAGAAGCGGGGAAGAGGGCGGCCACCAGGGACGGGGAGAAAGCAACAATTAGCTTCTTTTGGTAAGTTTTATCTGCAAAATGTGGTTTTCTACACATTCAGATTATCTATGAGGAGTTGCAGGTTTGAACTTGGTTTCCTTCAGTTTGAGAATAGCTCAGCTGGATGTTATTCTATTGAGTATTCTCATGATAGCATATGTTTAAGAAGACCTTGCTATGCATCTCTGTTATTAAAGTGTGGTCTTTTTTCACCTTAACTTGTTAAACACAAATTTCTGGTTGATTCTTATGGTACTGGTTATAAGTATTAATATTGGTGGTCTTGCTACAACCAGCATAAATTTATAATATGTTGTGACGTGGAGTGTGTGACACCCATGAATACTTTGAATTAATAAAAAAGGCACATTAGAATTATGTAAATCAGTAAAAATGTTTGACCCAGCACTGTAAGTCTGTAATATGATAAATTTTTATTGCATTATTATATGTGCTTTATATTCAATATTATCCTAAAATGTCCACTGTTACCGGAAAAAGCTAAGTATCTTTCTTTTCTGCATTAGAAGTTTCGTTTGTCAAAGTTTTAACACTTTTTATTTTTAATTTATTTGAGAAACGGAAGTATTTGGAATTAGCCACAGTATTAGGTAGGCCTTGGTTTGTAGGGGTCCTGTTGTCAGGTCACTACATGTGCCATGGAACTGATAAGTGTCTTTTGATAGCCATTTCTTTTCCATGGGGCCACTATCTTGGGTCTAACTGATTTCTGGGTGGAGTCAACGGAATGGGCAAGGGTCATAGGAAAGCGGATTAAAATTCTAATTTACATTGGCATGATGATGTGGGTGGATAACATTCTGTATATATTGGAGTATAGAATGTATTAATATAAGAAACTAATGGTAGAACTTCAAAAACTATTCCCTTTCCATTTACACAAACTTGGTATATTAATTAGCTCATGCGGATGTGGCCCAGCCTTTGTGTTGAATTGAAAATGTATTGCACCTGCGATGTTAACTTTTGTCTTCAAAATGTTGCTGCCTTGTTTCTTATTGAATTCCTGCCCTGGCATGTTCAAGTATCTCAATTTTGATGCTAGGTGTGTCAAATCAGGTCCAGACTGAACAGTTATCAGCTCCTTTTCTATTTTGAATGAGTTGATATGTTCAAGTATCTCAATTTTGATGTTAGGTGTTTCACAAATCAGGGGTTAGCGTCTCCTTTTCTATTTCAATTGAGTTGGATCCAAATTTCAGGAAAGCATGGATAGAGATAATACAGTCCAAATTTAATTACTAATTAGCAATTTAGCTTTTTTTTTTTTTTTTTTTTAGTTAATGATATATATTTATGACTTTCACTTTATGAAGGCAGTACAAAAAAAACTTTGTATTGTAGCTATAATTTTACAAGTACATATTATGTAATTATTACTTGTGTAACCGGGTTGATCTTTTAGGATACAACATACAAACACAGAACTGGCTTTTGGACCAGGAAATTTAAAATCTTTAAATTTGGACCAAAAATGGAAAAATCTTATCTTATTACAATCCAGGTCTTCAGAATTTATTCTCTTCCACCCATATACAAACACCTCTTGTTTTGATTTAACATATTTGTTATTTGTATGTCTCTTACTAATATAGTATAAATTCTGAATATGTATGTTTGTTTAATGTAGTTAATTTTCCTGCTGTTTGACGGTGTTACAAAAGGTTTAATTGATTTGCTAGGTGAATGGCTTTCTGGCTCAGCTGGGATTGGATTTACTCCACATGTCATCACCATTGCTATAGGAGAAGTACGTTGCCATATCCTCTTCCAAACTTCACCAGTGTTTGTACATATATGATCAAGTAGACAAAGTATTCAAAATGTATCACTATACGGAGGGTTCCCTCTGTCAACTAATTTTGATGGCATAGACTAAATTTTCAACGGCAGAATATGATGATTATCGTATGCAATTATTTCTATGGCATTGAGCTGTAACATTCTTTGTAAAAGTGATGTGATGTACATTTGCTCAAATAGGCCTGGACAACCTCATGCATATCATTTGAAGAGAAAATGTTAAATTTATAATAACTGAACCACATAAAAGAATAGAATAAGGAAAATCACTTTGCTAGTTTGGTTGTTGTAAGCTCATCATTGGGAGTGGGACTAAGCTTTGACGAGGAATAAAATAGTGAGAAGAAAAGGTATATAGAAATGACGATTGAACTTGACTAGGCTAACAGAAAATGAGGTTGACTTCTCCTGATATGTTTTTATTTTATTTTATTTATTTTTATTTTTATTTTTTTGCTGCCAGTTAGAAGCTGCTTGCCCTTTCACGTTAGCGATTAGCTATTAGTTGGATAATTTTTATATTCCCTTGACATCATATAGAAGGGATTTTAGATCATTTCTTAGGGATTGATGGTTTTATTCTTCCTTATTAATAATATCTTGGTATGTTATCACCATGTGCTTAGCACTAGTGATATCCCCTCTAACCTTCCAAGTGGAAGTAGAGGGTTCAAGTTCCCGTAAGGGGCAACTGTGGGTGTGTGCGTGTCTTACTTTTTAAAAAAAAAATAAAATGAAAAGAAAAGAAAAGAGAAAGAATAAAATATCTTGGAAATTATTACATTTTTGGTGAACTTATTTCTGAGGTACAACTTTTAAGATGGAAATTATTACATTTTGAGCTACTAGTATGTTGAATATTACTCTTTTTTTTTTTTCTTTTTTTTTTTTTTTTCCTTTAACTTTTTGAATTCTATCTTTTCCTGTAGGACATCACAACAAAAATAATGTCGTTTTCGCAGCAGGGGCCAAGAGCTATATGCATCTTGTCAGCAAATGGAGCTGTCTCCACTGCGACCATTCGTCAGCCTTCAACTTCTGGTGGCACTGTCACATATGAGGTTTAAACACGTTATAATATTCTCTTTGTCAGTTAAAGATGTATTCAAGTGCTATTTTATCTGCAAAGGAAATGATAATTTTTGGCAGACTGCTCATCTATTTCTACACCCATGTAGACTTTCTTTTTTTTTTTTTTTCCCTGAATGGGTTAGTTTCAATTAAAGGACATGTACACCCATGTAGACATTCATATATGTAAATATTTGTAAAATCAAATTTTATATGCTATTGATGCTAGGAACAAGGATTTTGATGTGCTGTTCATGATCATATTTTGTGGCCAAGCAAAGCAAATTTTTTAAAACCCTAGAAATGCTTGGCTTAAAAGAAGGCATGTTGTGTAATGATTAAGTTGTCTTATGTCTCAGGCTGATGCTTCATGCATTAACAGTAAGTATCTATGTACGTTTTCAGTATAATGTAGAACTGAAGTAAACGAAGTCTGTTTTTATAATTTCAAGTAAATCAAATTCGGCTGTCATTTTATATTATTTCATATCAAGGAATATTTTTAGTGGGGGGGAGGTGTTATTTGGGTCTCTAATGCTCCTTTCTCCAAAAAATTCTTCCTTCTTTCTATTTTCTTTTTATTTTTTTTAATGACATCCACTTGACTTTTGTAGTTAAACTTTGTTGCATGAAGTGATGAAAGAATATAATTAACCTTTTTGAATGGCATCTATGTACATAATTAATACGCATATGTATCCAGAATCATCATAATTTTCCCATGGTGCTTATCCAAGATTAGCCAAAAGGCTCATTAAAATCAAAATTGCTAGAGCAATAGTATTGGGGACCATGCTCCTTGGAAAGAGCTTCTGGATGTCAGCCGTGATATTCCTTTTGGGCTGACATTTAATGGAGGGTTTGCTGAGGAAAGGGCCTTGGTGATTGTTATAAATTCGTTAGAGCCATAACATTTGTCAATGACGACGCTGACATTTGTTCTCCTATATCCTTAGACTCGTATGCTAAATAAGGGCCTTGGAGACTGCTATAAACTCATTAGAGCCATAACATTTGTTGATGAGCAATGCTGCTACTAGTTCTCCAGATATATTTACACTTCTTGCATAGTATGATCTTTCTGTATTTTTCATATATACTTCTGTAGTTCTCCTTTTACAGGTAATTTTTTTCTAACACAAAAATTGTGCAAGGCATAAATAATCGCACTTCAATGCTCACTTGTGCACTAGAGGTCCTTCAGAATTTTTGCGGTTTTTCAATTCAAAAGAAAATGTGAACGAATGGTTGATGTTCATGGGAAGGTTTCTATTTTATTTTATCAATTTTCTTATAAGATAGGTTTTGAATTAAGATTGGTGATGCAAAAGAAGTCTTCATCCTGGGCTAATCATGAAAAACACCTTTTTTTTCCCCTCTTAGCTCTTCAGATATTGTTCTACACTGTTGAACTCGCCTTTCGAATACTTACACTCATTGAACAGTCTTTAGAAGACTGTATATCATATGTTTCTGCTTTCCTCTATATTCTCTTATAATAATTTTGCTTCAAATGAACTTTCCTAAGAAGGTTGTCTATGTTTAGTGTTTCTGCTTGCCTCCCATTACCTATTGTGGTGAGCATTAACCCTTAAAACCTCTGTTATACAATGTAAAATGAATTTATACATATAGAGGGATGCACTTGTGATTGTCATGTTCAACACCATTTCTTCTTTTATTTTTGTACCATATAAATAACCCTCATCTCTCCCGCTCCCCGTTCTTTCCTCCTCAAGGGTAATTAAAAATACTTTACCATTTCACTTTTCAAAGAAAAAAAAAAAGAAAAAAAGAAGAAAGCTTTACCATTTCACAACTTTTATTTTTTCATAACCTTGCATATACTTTTTTCTGTTTATAATTTAGTTATTGCCCATCGATCAATCATTTTCTTCGTTAAATATTGTCTCCTTTAAAGTTTCTGTGTCTAATTCTGTTTGATCATGGGAACTTATGATTTTTTGATTTGTTTGTGTTGAGTTCTTGTTGTGCTTCATTGCTTCTTAGGCCTATCCTGAAATAGGTGGGTATGCCATCCTATTGACTTATGATATAGCATTAAGTTTGTAAAAGAAATGGAAAGTTTCTAAACCCTGCATTTTATACGAACTCTCTACCAAGTTGACTTTGTTTTCCCTTATTGTCAAATGGAATCTCAATGATTTGATTAGATAATCAGTGCAGTACTTTATAGAATATGCTTGATTAGTTTTTTCTCTAAATATTTTCTTTTTAATTAGTTCTCTGGTTCTAATATGTCTTGCAAACAATTGCATTAATTCTGTGATGAACTCTTCACTTCTGAGAAGTTTTACTATCATTCTCTCTTGTCCCAAGATTACAAATAACTGATGGTTCTTATTATTATTATCTCCTTTTCTTTTCTTTAATTCTATTTTTTATTAAAATATTATCTTTTTCTATTATGTTATTTTAGTATATATTATTTAGGTATACGACACTTGATAATTTCTAAGTTTCTAGTGAGGTTTTGAGATATCTACCTCTCTTCCCTTGTGAAAACTTCTCTTTTGCATTTCATCTTGCTGAAAGTAAGCCTTTTTAGAGCGGACTTTTTTACTTCTGCAGGGGCGTTTTGAGATAATATGTCTCTCAGGATCTTACTTGCTCACTGATAGTGGTGGCCCCAGTGGCCGAACTGGCGGTTTAAGTGTCTCCCTAGCGAGTCCTGATGGTCGTGTCATTGGTGGGGGAGTAGGGGGAATGCTTATTGCAGCCAGCCCTGTACAGGTAACCCTTTTTATTTATTTATTTATTTTTATTAATTGCTTTGGCTTAATACCACTGTGGTGACCATCTTCTGTGGTTCTCATTTACTGAATTGCTCTCAATTTATTTACTTAAAGAGCATTGGTTAGAATTTTTGCCATCTTTCTACTAATATGTAATTGTAACATTGGTATTTAGTCAGAAAAAATGAGGTGAATGACCAAAAGGGTGGAATGTACAGAAACTTTAGGGTACCCAGGATTAGCTGTTAAATTGTTTCTATTAGAGTGACACAGACTATCATGCCTTGCCCTTTCCGGCATGACCAGATATTTGGTTTTTATAGCGTATTTGCTTGAGAAAGAATCACTGTTATGAGGTTGAAGTTCATGGATGATTCTAATTTGATCTATCTATATAATGTTACGTTACGGTCAGGAAGGAGTGAAAGCTAGACATTAATAATTTTAACCAAAAAATTAAAAAAATAAAAAGCTCACCCACACAGACTTGTGGGTAGTGTGCCACTTCATGCACCAGGTTCTACATTTCTTGTTCGTCAACATACTCCCTCCTGTCTGAAGTGTTCCTTTTGTGGACACCCAATTTTTTAATCATCATCATCCTTGTGTCAATCCCATGTGGACGAGTTCGCCACATGAATTCTCTTTTTTATTCTTTTTTATTACAAGCCATGAACCATCTTTCCCATAAAATTTAAAATTTAAAATTTATTTTAATACCTTCATTTCTTGTTAATTTGGTCACCCTTTGTGGCACAAATTTGTCTTTTAACTTCTTAATGGCAATGTGTGGAAGAGGGTAAGCTTTCTGAGTGCTAGGATGTATCAGCACTTTTTGCGTCTTTTAATGGAAATGCCTAAGAATAGTAGTGTTTGGGCCTTGAGGACCAGGATGGCCGAAGATCAAAACCTAAATGTGCTAGGGGTTGATCATCAAAGCCAGGGCAATAACAATGAAGGAATTTTAGTGCTGATGTAGTTAACCACCACCTTTGTAGTTGATTCATTAGGGGCATCATCTTCTACCTAACTAGTGGAAGTATCCACCGTTATCTTTCTGTTAGGCCTTTCTGCTATGGGACTTCCTGTAGAAAACTGCAATCACAGTTTATCAGCCACCCACAAGACCATCGAGATCTTTGACTTAGCTCCAATAGGCAGTCCACTTGGCCCTTTCCCCAACCTATACAAGGAGAGTGGAAGATAACGAAAGGGAGACACCGCCAAAATGCATTTTGCTCCTTCGAGATTCCAAAAATAATGAAATTTAAAGGTTTACACTACTTGGAATAATTTAGGAAAATTGAAAATTTTATGTATTGACTTTTCAGAAAGGAATACTTATTTTGCGACATCTCAAGAAGAAAAAAAGGTACACTTATTTTGGACGGAGTAGTTTTTAGCAGGTCTTATACAAATTGTAGTGAAGACAAATAATTAATATCTATTATTATTATTTTTTATAAAATAATTAATATTTGCAGTTTAAAAATATTTAATATTTAAACTAGAGAAGCAAACAGTACTTGTCATCTAAAATGATCTTCAATTGTTTATGATGTGGGCTATGGCAGTTAGGCACATATTTGGCAGAGTCAATTTGATAAGAGCAGACATGATTCAATCACATTATTTTTTTGAGTCAACTATATAATGATTTCAGGTAATAGTGGGAAGCTTTGTATGGGGTAGTTCAAAGACAAAGAGCAAAGTTGCTAGAGATTCAGTCCATCAGACTGCTGACAATTCAGTCATTCCAACTAGTAGTGTTCCTTTGAGTCAAAATCTCAATCTGACCTCTCCAATGGGCGTTTGGCCCAGTTCACGGCCGATGGACATGCAAAATGCTCACGATGACATTGATCTGATGCGCGGATGACAGATTTCGTTGGCAGACAAGTCGTGTATATATTTTGCTGTTCCAAAGCCACTTGACTCTAATTTCTTCAGTCCCGCCCAAAAAAAAACAAATCTGGTGTTTTTGTGCTTGATGGATCTCACGTCATACACTAATGGAAGGCAATTGGGTTGTACTAGTATTTTTTTAACTTAATCGAAATTTGGTTCGGATTTTAGTGCCATGGTTCTATTATTTTTCCGTGTATATTTATTGGCTGAGTAGCCATGGTTGTGATCTAACTCAATTTGATATATGTCAAAAATAGGAGATCTATTTTGTTTACATCTAAATAAGTATTTGCAGGTGACATAACATGGCCAATAGTTTCTGCGTGGTATCTTACTGAGTTTTATGGAAACAATGGCAATCAAAATATTTGAGTTTGTGTATTAGATAATGAATGTTGATGTTTTCTAGCTTCAAGTTATCTACTTTGATGTATAAAAAGGGGTACAAAAAAAGTTATTTTACATGGCAAAGACCTGGTAAAAAAAACGTTAACTTTCTCGGCCAACAAAACTGCTATCAACATTTGAGTTAAATTATGTTACAGGAATTCCATTCTAAATTATCATTTAGTGCAGGATTATGTACTTTTTACACCTAACTTTAATGCTACGTTAGGTCCAAAGAAATTATTGAAGGAGGAGCATCCTGCCTACTTGGTTTAGTTTTTTGGGAACAATTTTTTTTATTGAAATTATTGAAGAAGGAGCATCCTGCCTACTTGGTTTAGTTTTTTGAGAACAATTTTTTTTTTTTTTTTTTTTTTTTATTAAAATAAAAAAAAATTGTACAAAAATTTACGTAGTTCACCATTTGTGAAAACTGTTTTTTATTTTTATTTTTTATTTTTAAAATTCAATTAAAAAAAAGAAATGTTATCATACAAATATGTAATACTATTATGGATACAAATAGGCAGGGAAGGGACATGCGGAATTATGAGTAATCACATAAGTATTGTGACCTGAAAAATGGTAGTGTGTTCCTAAAAAGGAAAACAAAAAAAGCATACTAATTTCATGTGCAAAATAAAAAGAAGAAAGATAAATTACACTAATAGCTTTGTTACAATTACCTAAATTTTTCTTACGTATGAAAAATTATATTTCATTCAACCCAGTTTAATTGAATATAAAATTTTACTATTTATTTATGAAATTAGCATTTTAACTCTGCATTTCTATTGTCGAACACAAACTCAAGTTTATACTCTATTTTATGGCAATTGAATATAAATACTCATTTTATTATTAGATGATTCTTCACGAAGCAAAAACATGTAATACACCATCTTAATACTTTCAGGTATAAATATTAAAATATTTTCTTTATTTATAAATGCTTATATAATTTGTTTTCATTCCGGGGCGGTTTCTCAAGCAGGCGTTAATTGATAATTTCGAACGAGACATTTGCTTCAAAAAGATGTATCAAATTCGCATAAAATTGTAGAATTTGAAATAGAACCTGTTTTCTCATTGAACAGGTCGTATATGTTAGAAATTGAACAAGGGAGTAGGGATTACATGTCAGGTTACCCAATTAAGTTTTCTCTAATATCTCATACTTAATGGAGTTTTCCAAACCTTCAAAGGAGACATATAACTTAAGAATGATAATATCTTCTTAAAAAATTAGGTTCTTATATTCATTAATCATAAAAGTATTGTGACCCTTGCCAACATGCAAAAGCAGTGGGTTATAAACAAGTTTTAGTTTCAGGTGTAAAATATAAATTATATATATATTACAGTAATAATGTAACATCTAATGAATTTTGTTACAATTACACACACTTCTCCTATAACATTGACACCTCACATTCATACAACTCTGTTCATGCCTATATAAGTACTAGTTTTCATAAAATCTGAATGTATGTATCCGTTGAATAAAACCATTTCACAAGGACAAAAATTGTGTTCTGAAATTTCATATTGTTGACACGAGTAAGTTGACTAGTGCTGACCGTTAACAAAGGAAAAATTGGTTGCAGAACATAAGATTAGTGTACATTAGTTTCACATGTCATGGAACCATAAATTTAAAATAACAACTGAAATAATATCGAAATTAATACAGGGGACAACTTTGAGAAATACGAAATACAATTTCCATACTATTAATCACAATATTCCAAATTGAATTGAAAACACAACAGAAACATCCACAAAAGTGAAAGCTTTTTAAGAAAGAAGTAACAAGTTTAAATCAAGCGTCAGACCAGGTGATATCCAACTCGCCCCAGCTATCCTGAGGCACCCAAGGCTTTCCACACAGCTTTCGAGGCATCAACGATGTTATTATTACACGGAGGCTGATAATCATGGTCTCCATCACATCCCATGTTAGAGTCACACTCGTCAACAACCATGGCCTTCACACTTCGCCCATTCGCACTTATGGTGATGTTGTTGAGGCACCTTCCTCCTCCCTTGTACCATCCAGTTGATAGTGCAACAACTGGTGTGTCATCAGAGTGGTAGTTGTTATCACATTCTGATGGTCCACCACCATCTCCACCCTTTTGAAAACTGTTGAGAGTCAGAACCGCCTTAGTATTACTCGAAACTGTTGGCGAGCACTTGTAAGTTGGGTAAAGTTTCCCTTGTACACAGCAGTCGGAGTCATTCTCTTGGTTGCATTGTTCAGGAGGAGGTTTTCTACCCCTAATTTTGCCACTTGGTCTACAAACTACAGCTTTAGCTTCTAGGCAATGGGTAACAACAACGAGAACAATCAATATAAAAAGTGGTGCTCCTAAGCTGAAGTTCTTCATCCTGCTTAGCTCTGTTCTCTCTTTCTAGTTGTGTTTTGAATTGTGATGCTCGATGGCAAGCAATGCTCAAATGCTGGGCTATATATAAGATCTCGTGGAGGGGCAGTCTGGTCAATTAGGAGCAATATTCAAGTGTTACCGGGAAAAGAACAATAAAGGCTTCAACATTTTAGAGGAGATACCTGTTTCTACAGGCAACTCTTTGATATTCTTGGGCAACAAAACTGCTGTTGACATTTGAGATAAATTATGATTCAGACCCCATTCTAAAATATCATTTAGTGTTGATTTATGTACTTATATTACGGAGTCACTTTCATTAAGGGTTGTGGAATCGTGATTTGTATTCGAACTGCATGGTTGCCTTGGATTCAAACTTCATAATGCAGTATTGTATCTTCTACACTAAATTACAAATTAAGATTCTGCAATTGATGACTTACCTAACCAAAAAAAAAAAAAAAAAAAACTGCGATTGTGGAAGGTGAATGCTCCCCAACTTGGTTTTCTTCCATTTAGATTACCCAACTTGGTTTTCTTACCTAACCATAAAATATTGAGGCAGGCCCTAAAATGTTGCATGAGTACTATAGGGTACAACATTCTATTATAGCACTGTTATTCCATAACAAGCAGGTACCATTTAAGAGTAATTAAGATATCATAGATCACTTCTACTCAGGATCTATCTTTCAATTGTCTTATTTCCTTCATATTTGTTTAACATTATCTGTATGCATATCCTTCCTCATAAATTGGCAATGCTTCTTTTTAAGCAAAGTACAAAATGACAGGCCATGATAGTTGTGTCACTTAAGGTCAATAATTTGGCATGGTGAAGGGATATTGTCACATACATCATCCTTATAAGATGTATCTAACTCATTGGGGCAAGGAAATCATAAGATCAGAACTCCGTCAAGTTATGTATCGGTTACCAAACTCAACAGCAGAATTTCATTTAACAAGAACAAAAGACTGATGCAAGAGAGATTTGAATACGAAACCAGAATAAAAGCTAACCTAAGACTCCACTATTTAATTTCAAAATGCATGCAAATATATGATATGCAATTCAAGAGATACGAGATAATGCTACCTCCAAAAAGATTCAAATTGTGGATTTTATGTTGCAAGCACAAAAAGTCCAGTGTTATCTCCAGGTTCCTGATAGAGTGATAGGCAAAATCGTTACTCGAAGAATCATGTCCCCAACATCTGTACCAATGACAAAAATAAGTAAGACAACTACAACTGGAAACCATAGGTTTGTGAACTTTGGAGTATATTCAGAGTGGTATAAAATGTTACTGTGATAAACCATAAAGAAACAACAAATGCCATTTACCGGGAAGAAAAAAAAAATGCTGACACACAAAAGATTAATTATTCAATGTAAGAGAGAGACATTGCTTTAAAATTGTAACAAGAGGCAACAGTTGATATGCAAACTCCATCAAAAGGTCCTCAGACCTTTAGATTTGAACATTTCCCTAAGAGTAAAAAAAATTATTTTTGGTGAAAAATATGCAATTCCCTCTAGATGCAGAAATGAATAAGCATATATGATCCCCTAAGTTGTCTAGCTCAAACCCACTGAGAAATGTCCCAATCTAGCCTGAACATCTCAAACCCTTTTTTTTGGTCTCAGGAGGGGCATAAAACCAATTGCCTCTAGTAGGGGTATCAAGAACAACGTTCCAAACTCTAGCAACCAACATACATCCCTGTTGAACACCATGAGAGAAACGGAGGCACCCTTAACAAAATTTTCAGGTTCACTGTTGACTCGAAGAAGCATGTTCAATTTTGTGGTGTGGCTCTTGGATGGTGGCTCAACTTGCAAAGCCAAAAATCCCCATTTCTATCTAAAACACATAAAGCTCCTTCATAGAATACAATAGCATGAAATTCAGTTCCTTCTTGGACTTCTTCCAAAATGGACCATTGTGCAATTCCCAGTCTACAGAAGGGAAATTTTCTACTGTTACAAAGTCAGTGGTGACCATAGGTTAAGATTTAAAATGAATAAAACTTGCTAAACAGTACAATTAATTTATTCTAAAACTTATTGAACGTGTTATGCATTTAAAAAAAATTAGAAATGAGCTCAATTTTTCGTAATAATTAGATATTACGAAAATTATTCTGTGATGTCCATCATTCCTCATATTTAGCTAAGATATATGGGGTCTTGAAAGATCTCTTCTTGCATTGCAACAAAGAGGCATATATGGACAGAGTTCCAAAGACTAGTAAAAAAATTCGGTCATGCATTATGTTTGAAGGGTTGACGGTCTTATTGTGTTTGTATTATGGAGAAATTCTACATAATTGTTATTATTTTATAATGCAATATATGTACATCAGTTTCCGGTTTCATGCAACCATAAATTTTTAATAATAACTGAAACTAATACAGGGTACAGCTTTGAGAAAGACGAAATACAATTTCCATTACTATTAATTACATTCCACATTGAATTGAAAACACAACAACATAGACATTCACCAAAGGTAAAGCTTTTTAAATCAATAGGTTCCATTTAAGCATCAGACCAGGTGATGTCCAACTCGCCCCAGGTATCTTGCGGCACATCCAAGGCTTTCCACACAGATTTTGAGGCATCAACGATGTTATTATTACATGGAGGCTGATAATCGTGGTCTCCATCACATCCCATAGTCGAGTCGCACTCGTCAACGACCATGGCATTTACACTCCGCCCATTCGCACTTATGGTGATATTGTTGAGGCACCTTCCTCCTCCTTTATACCATCCAGTTGATAGTGCAACAACTGGTGTGTCATCAGAGTGGTAGTTGTTATCACATTCTGATGGTCCACCACCATCTCCACCCTTCTGAAAACTGTTAAGAGTCAGAACCGCCTTAGTATTACCCGAAACTGTTGGTGAGCACTTGTAAGTTGGGTAAAGTTTGCCTTGTACACAGCAGTCGGAGTCATTCTCTTGGTTGCATTGTCCAGGAGGAGGTTTTCTACCCCTAATTTTGCCACTTGGTCTACAAGATTGAGCTTCAACTTCTAGGCAATGGGTAACAAGGAGAACAAGCAATATGAGAAGTGGTGCTCTTAAGCTGAAGTTCTTCATTCTGCTATGCTCTCAATGTCTTTCTAGTGTTGTGAATTGTGATGCTTGATGCCAAGCAGTATTCAGGTGTTGGCTATTTAAAGGATCATGTGGAGGGGCAGTCTGGTCATTTAGGAGAAAGTTTAAGTGATTATTGTACATGTGTTTCCAGGAAAATACCAATAAAGGGTTCAAATTTTTAGAGGACAAACCTGTTTGATATTCTTGGCCAACAAAACTGCTATCAACATTTGACTTAAATTATGATTCAGAATCCCATTCTAAAATATCATTCAATGTAGATTTATGTACTTATAATTTGGAGTCACTTTCATTATGATTTGTATGTGCACTGCATTGATTGCCTCAGATTCAAACTTCAGAATGCAGTATTGCATCTTTTACACTAATTTCCAAACTAAGATTCAGTGTGCGGAAGGTTAATGTTGTTTTAGCCCCAATGTTGTAAGAAGATAAAATTACACTAGTGTCCATATTGCATAAAAGAAATAATAATAATAAACTCTCTCACACTTTTTCTTAAGCAAACTGCCAAATGACTGGCCGTGATGGTTATCTAACCCTTTAGGGAAAATCATAAGATCAAAACTCCATCAAGCTATGCATCAGTTACCAAACTCAACAGCTGAATTTCATTTAACAAGAGAGAGAGAGTACTGTAAGAGAAATTGGAAGATGAAACGAGCATACAAGCTAATCTAATTAGACTTCATTATTTTAATTTCGAAAAACATTGACATATTTGATATGCAATTCAAGAGATACAAGATAATGCTACCTCCACAAAGATTCAAATTATCTCCCAAGTTCCTGCTAGACAATGTAGTTACTTGAAGAATCATGTCCCCGACATCTGTACCAATAAGTAAGATCAAATAATTCAGATGAAAACAAATTAGATACTACATTTTTTAATCTAGCACAGGTTTTTGTCTATCTTCCCTTGTATATCTTATAAAAGTTAAACAAAGTATAATTTGGAAACCATAGGTTTGTGAACTTTGGAATATGCTCCGAGTGGAATAAAATGTTACTGTGACAAACCATACAGAAACAACAAATGCTGACACAGAAAAGATTAGTTGTTCAATGCAAGATAGAGAAATTGATTTGAAAATGGTAGAGAGGCAGTAGTTGACAATCGAAATACATCAAAAGGTCCTCAGGAAGAATACAAAATTAAACAGAGGAATTTTTGGTACCACGGATTTGGTAAGAGCCATATACACAAAATCCTATGAGTCGAACACACTCAAGTTTTGAGAGCCATATTAAAATTTAAATATATGCCTAAGAGTAAAAAAATTATCTACTGTGAAAAAGATGCAATTCTCCCAAGATACAAAAATGAATAGCATGTGATCCACTAAGTTGTCTAGCTCAACCCACTGAGTAATATCCCAATCTAGCCTGAATAACTCAAAACATTTTCGTCTCAGGAGTGAGTCGAGTGACATAAACCAGTTAGCTCTAGTAGGGGTATCAAGAACAAGGCTCTAACTCTAGAAATTAACATAACTTCCCCATTGGACACGATGGGAGAGGAGGAGGCACCCTTGATAAAATTTTCAGGTTCACAGTCCACTGGAAGAAGCATGTTCAATTTTGTGGTGTGGCTCAACTTGCAAAGCCAACAATTCCTAATTCTATCTAAACGATATTAAGCTTCTTCATAGAATACGATAGCTTGAAATTTAGTTCCTTCTTGGACTTCTTCCAAGATGGGCCATCGTGCAACTCCCAGTGTACAAAAGGTCGATTTTCTGCTATTACACAGTCAGTGGTGACCATAGTATCTGATTTAGAGATCTCTGATGATGGAACAGGCAGAATAACATTATTGATGAAACATCCTTAATCCATCTCCAACTTTGGGAAAGAAATTTGGACCCCTAGCATTGAATTGAACAAAAAAAATCTGATTTTTGGATATTGGAAATCAACATAATCTCAGAATCATACATAGTGTAACGACCCACTTCACTAAATGGTATAATATTGTCCGCCACACCCAGGCGATGTGGTATTGTGCACTTGTAGCTCGCCCAGGGGGCCCGACGTCCCCGTTGGCACACTTCCGGCCTGACCCCCACTCCACTACATGGTATGATATAGTCTGCTTTGGGCCGAGCCTGCACGGATTTTCTCTTGGGCTTTACCCCAAAAGGCCTCGTACCAATTGGAGAGTACAAATCCGACATATATAGCACTTCCCCTTTTCACACCCAGGCAATGTGGGATTGTGCACCTGTAGCTCCCCTAGCGTGGTAGCTTGCCAGTGTCTCTTGTACCCACCTACGACACACCCGCCCACATAGGTCGCCACACAAAGTTTACTGGATTTCAGGCTATATTTTGTTAGCATTTGATATATGGACATGACGTTAAAAGAAGACTCAATAAACCACCAATTAGACCTTGATTTGCTTCCTCTCCTTCATTTAAAGTGGTAATTATGAAGCTAGCTATACACAAGGACTCATTCTATAATTTATTACCTAAGATATATGAATCTTCAAAGATCTCTTCCTGCATTGGAACAGAGAAACATTTATGAAGAGTTATACGTACTTGTCAAAACTTGCAATCACGTATTATGTTTGGAGCGTTGTCGGTCTTATTGTGTTTGTGTTGTGGAGATATTCTACATAATTGCTTTAATTATAGATTCTGAACAGAGTATTGTAGTTGATATAATGCAATATATTTACATCGGTTTTAGATTTCACACCACAATAAATTTAGAATACAATAACTGAGATTAATACAGGGTAAAACTTTGAGAAATATGAAATACAATTTACATACTATTAATTACATTCGTCATGAATTGAAAACACAGCAACAGAAACATCCATCAAAGGTAAAATCTTTTTAAGACAGAAGTAATAGGTTCAATTTAAGCATCAGACCAGGTGATATCCAACTCGCCCCAGCTATCTTGAGGCACGCCCAAGGCTTTCCACACAGCTTTTGAGGCATCAACGATGTTATTATTACACGGAGGCTGATAGTCATGGTCTCCATCACATCCCATAGTAGAGTCGCACTCGTCAACAACCATGGCACTTACACTCCGCCCATTCGCACTTATGGTGATATTGTTGAGGCACCTTCCTCCTCCTTTATACCATCCAGTTGATAGTGCAACAACTGGTGTGTTGTCAGAGTGGTAGGTGTTATCACATTCTGATGGTCCACCACCATCTCCACCCTTCTGAAAACTGTTGAGAGTCAGAACCGCCTTAGTATTACTCGAAACTGTCGGTGAGCACTTGTAAGTTGGGTAAAGTTTCCCTTGTACACAGCAGTCAGAGTCATTCTCTTGGTTGCATTGTCCAGGAGGTTTTCTACCCCTAATGTTGCCACTTGGTCTACAAGATTGAGCTTCAGCTTCTAGGCAATGGGTAACAAGGAGAACAAGCAAAACGAGAAGTGGCGCTCTTAAGCTGAAGTTCTTCATTCTGCTATGCTCTCACTGGCTCTCTCGTTGTGTTGTGAATTGTGATGCTTGATGCCAAGCAGTATTCAAGTGTTGGGCTATATATAAGATCTCATGGAGGGGCAATCTGGTCATTTAGGAGGAAACTTAGAGTGATGATTGTACAGGCATTTCCAGGAAAATAAAAATAAAGGGTTCAAAATTTTATAGGACATACTTGTTTCTAAAGGCAACTCTTGATATTTTGGCCAACAAAACTGCTATTGATATTTGAGTTAAATTATGATTCAGAACCCCATTCCAAAATATCATCCAGTATAGATTTATGTACTTATAATATGGAGTCACTTTCATTAAGGGTTGTGGAATCATTATTTGAATGTGGACTGCCTTGGTTGCCTCAGATTCAAACTTCAGAATGCAGTATTGTATCTTTTACACTAAATTACAATTTAAGATTCCGCGATTGCGGATGGTGAATGGTGTTTGACCCACAACTTGGTTTTCTTCTATTTATTCTAAAATATTGAGGCAGGCCCTATATTGTTGCTTGAGTACTATAAGGTACAATATAGATTATAGCATTGTTATTCCATAAGAAACAGGTACCATTTAAAGTAATTAAGATTTCATAGATCACTTATACTCAGAATTTATCTTTCAATTATCTTATTTCCTTTCTATTTATTTAACATTATCCGTATGCATATCCTTCCTCAGAAATTGGCAATGCTTCTTCTCAAACAAAGTGCCAAATGACAGGCCATGATAGTTGTATCACTTAAGCACGAAAATTTTGCATGGTGAAGGGATATTGTCACATACATCATCTGTAAAAGATGTATCTAACTCGTTGGGGCAAGAACATCATAAGATAAGAACTTTAACAAGCTATGCATCAGTAACCAAACTCAACAGCAGAATTTCATTGAACAAGAAAAAGAGACTAATGCAAGAGGGATTTGAAGACAAAACCAGAATAAAAGCTAATCTAAGATTCCATTATTTAAAAAAACATGCAAATATTTGATATGCAATTCAAGAGATACAAGATAATGCTACCTCCAAAAAGATTCAAATTGTGGATTTTAGGACGTAAGAACAAAAAGTCCAGTGTTATCTCCAGGTTCCTGCTAGGCTATGTTGTTACTTGAATCATTTCCCCAACATCTGTAACAATGACAAAAATACATAAGATCAAATAATTCAGATAAAAAAAAATTTGATACTAATTCTTCTAATAAAGCACAGGGTTTTAACTTTCTTCTACCATTTCTATCCTTATATATCTTATAAAAGTTGTTTAACTACAATTTGGAAACCACAGGTTTGTGAACTTTGGGTTGTGTTCAGAGTGGAACAAAATGTTACTGTGATAAACCATAAAGAAACAACAAATGCTATCTACCGGAGGAAAAAAAAAAAACAAGTGCTGTCACACAAAAGATTATTTGTTCAATGCAAGAGAGAGAAATTGCTTCAAAATTGTGACATGATGCAACAGTTGACATACAAACTACATCAAAAGGTCCTCAGACCCTTTAGATTTGAACATATCCCTAAGAGTAAAAAAGTTATCTTCGGTGAAAAAGATGCAATACCCTCTAGATGCAGAAATGAAACACATATGATCCCCTAAGTTATTTACCTTAACCCACTCAGAAATGTTCCAATATAGCCTGAATATCTCAAACATTTTTGTCTCACGAGTGCCATAAAACCAATTAGCTCTAGTAGGGCATTACCCAGTGGCCTAGTTGGTACAGCGCCCAGCTCTCTGAGCGGGTGTGCCCGTGTTTGAGTCCCCCCTCCCCCTAGTTTGCCAGGAAAAAAAGAAAGAAAGAAAAAAAACCTCTAGTAGTGGTATCAAGACCAAGGTTCCAAACTCTAGCAACCAACATAACATTCCCGTTGGACGCCATGAGAGAAACGGTGGCAACCTAACAAAATTTTCAGGTTCACTGTCCACTAGAAGAATCGTGTTCAATTTTGTGGTGTGGGTCTTGGATGGTGGCTCAAAAATCCCCACTTCTATCTAACCACTTAAAAGCTCATTCATACAATACGATAGCATGAAATTTAGTTCCTTCTTGGACTTCTTCCAAGATGGACCATGGTGCATTTCCCAGTCTACAGAAGGGCAATTTTCTACTGTTACAAAGTCACTGGTGACCACAGGATAGGATTGAAAATGAATAAAACTTGCTAAACATCTCGATTAATTTATTCTAACACTTATTAAATGTGTTATGCAATTTTAAAATAATTAGAAATGAACTCAAGATTTCGTAATAGTTAGATATTACGAAAATATTTTGTAATGTCTATCATTCCTCATATTTTATTAGCTAAGATATATGAATCTTGAAAGATCTCTTCTTGCATTGGAACAGAGAGCCATTTATGGACAGAGTTCCGTGGATTAGTAAAAAACTCGGTCATGCATTATGTTTGAAGTGCGGTCTTATTGTGTTTGTCTTATGGAGATATTCTACATAATTGCTATAATTTTATAAAGAAATATATGTACATCAGTTTCCGATTTCATACAACCAATATTTTTTAAATAATAACTAAAACTAATACAGGGTACAGCTTTGAATACGAAATACAATTTCCATACTATTAATTACATTTCACATTGAATTAAAAACACAGCAACACAACATTCACCAAAGGTAAAAGCTTTTTAAAGCAATAGGTTCAATTTAAGCATCAGACCAGGTGATATCCAACTCGCCCCAGTTATTTAGAGGCACACCTAAGGCTTTCCACACAGCTTGTGAGGCATCAACGATGTTATTATTACATGGAGGCTGATAATCATGGTCTCCATCACATCCCATACTAGAGTCACACTCATCAACGACCATGGCGTTCACAGTTCGCCCATTCGCACTTATGGTGATGTTGTTGAGGCACCTTCCTCCTTCCTTATACCATCCAGTTGATAGTGCAACAACTGGTGTGTCATCAGAGTGGTAGTTGTTATCACATTTTGATGGTCCACCACCATCTCCACCCTTTTGAAAACTGTTGAGATTTAGAACCGCCTTAGTATTACTCGAAACTGTAGGTGAGCACTTGTAAGTTGGGTAAAGTTTGCCTTGTACACAGCAAACAGAGTCATTATCTTCGTTGCATTGTCCAGGAGGAGGTTTTCTACCCCTAATTTTGCCACTTGGTCTACAAGATTGAGCTTCAGCTTCTAGGCAATAGGTAACAAGGAGAACAAGCAATATGAGAAGTGGCGCTTTTAAGCTGAAGTTCTTCATTCTGCTATGCTCTCACTGTCTCTCTAGTTGTGTTGTGAATTCTGATGCTTGATGCCAACCAGAATTCAAGTGTTGAGCTATATATTAGATCTCGTGGAGGGGCAGTCTGGTCAATTAGGAGGAAGCTTAGAGTGATGATTGTACATGTTTTCCAGGAAAAAGAACAATAAAGGCTTCAAAATTTTAGAGGACATACCTGTCTATACAAGCAACTCTAGATATTCTCTGAATAAAAAACTGCAATTGACATTTGAGTTAAATTATGATTCAGAATCCCATTTTAGAATATCATTTCGGTGTAGATTTGTGTACTTATAATTTGGAGTCACTTTCGTGGAATCGTGATTTGTATGTGCATTGCAATGGCTGCCTCATATTCAAACTTGAGAATGCAGTATTGTATCTTTTACACTAACAGCCAAACTAAGATTCTGTGAATGCTGTTTGAGCCCCAACTTGGTTTTTATTCAATTTATTCTAAAATATTGAGGCAGGTCTGGATTGTTCCTTGACTACTTCAAAGGTACAATATTAGATTAGAACACTGTCATTTCATAGGAAGCATATAACATTTAGAGTAATTAAAATATCATAAAACATTTCTAGTCAGAATCTATCTTCAATTGTCTCTTTCCTTCATCTTTATTTAACATTATCTGCCTACATATACTTCCTTAGAAATTGACAATGCTTCTTTTTAAGCAAACTGACAAATGACAGGCCATGATAGTTGTGTAATCCTTTTAAGATATATCTAACCCGTTGGGGCAAATCATAAGATCATAACTCCATCAAGCTCTGAATCAGTTACCAAACTCAAAAAGAGAGTAATGCAAGAGAGATTGGAAGACGAAACCAGCATACAAACTAATCTAGGACTTCACTATTTGAAATATTTCAAACAGAATCCACATATATGATATGCAATTCAAGAGACACAAGATAATGTACCTCTGCAAAGATGCAAATTATGGATTTTATTTTGCAAGCACAAAAAATCCAGTGTTATCTCCAGGTTCCTGCTGGGCATTGTCAATTTGTTGTTACTTGAAGAGACATGTCTTCATCATCTGTACCAATGACAAAAATAAGTAAGAACAAATAATTCAGATGAAAACAAATTAGACACTAATTTTTTCAATATAACACAGGGTTTTATCTTTCTTCTACCATTTCTTCCCTTATATTATCTTATAAATTGTTGTTTCCTTATGGTTTATCACAGTAACATTTTCTTCCACTGTGAAATTACTCCAAAGTTCACAAACCTATGGTTTCCAACAAATGCTGACACTCAAAAGATTGTAATGGGAGGCAGCAGTTGACATGCAAACTACATCAGAAGGTCCTCAGGACAGAATATAAAATTAAACACAGGAATTTTTGGTACCATGGATTTGGTAAGAGCCATACAGAAAGGGCTGTGGAAAGGAATATGAATTATTAGGGACACAGGTTCTACAATCCCTTCCTCCAAGTCGATCACAATAAAATTTCTAGAGCCATATTCAGATTGAATATATCCCTAAGAGGCAAAAAAAAAAAATGTCCCTCTAGATGCAAAAATGAATAGCATATGATCCCTCTAAGTTGTCTACCAACCCACAGAGAAATGTCCCAATCTAGCCTGAATATCTCAAACCTTTTTGTCTCAGGAGTGGCATAAAACCAATTATCTCTAGTAGAGGTATCAAGAACAAGGTTCCAAACTCTAACAATCAGCATACCATTCCCGTTGGACACCATGAGAGAAACAGAGGCACCCTTAACAAAATTTTTAGGTTAAGTCCACTTTTTTCTTTTTTTTTTTGGTTCAATTTTGAGGTGGCCGAGTTGCAAACCTAAAAAATCCCCAACACTATCTAAACCAAATAAAGTGACTTCATAGAATACAATAGCATGAAATTTAGTTCCTTCTTGGTCTTCTTCCAAGATGGACTTTTGTGCAACTCCCAGTCTACAGAAGGTCAATTTTCTGCTGTTACACAGTCAGTGGTGGCCATAGTATCTGCTTTAGAGATCTCTGATGATGGAATAGACAGAATAGCATTATTGATGAAACTTCCTTAATCCATCTCCAACTTTGGGAAAGAAATTTGGTCCCATGGCATTGGATTGAACAAAAAGCTCTGATTTTTGGATATGGGAAATCAACACATTCTATGTATCATACAAAGTTGACTGGATTCCGGGCCATATTTTGTTAGCATTTGATATATGACATTCCGATAAATGCAGACTCAATAAACGACCAATTTGAGCTTGATTTTCTTCCTCTCCTTCATTTAAAGTGGTTATTATGAAGCTATCTATACACAAGGACTTATTCTATAATTTATTACCTTAGATATATGAATCTTCAAAGATCTCTTCTTCCATTGGAATAGAGAGCCATTTATTCAAAGTTCCACAGACTTGTAAAAACTCAAAATCATGAATTATGTTTGAAGGGTTGTCAGCATTAATGTGGGTGTGTTAAGGAGATATTCTACATAATTGCTATAATTATAGATTCTGAGCAGTGTATTGTAGTTGATATAATGAAAATATATCTAGATCAGTTTTTGATTTCATACCACCATAGAAACAAAAACTGAAATTAATATAGGGTAAAACTTCAAGAAATATGAAATACAATTCACACACTATTAATTACTTTCCACATAATTTGAAAACACAGCAACATAAACATCCACCAAACGTAAAATCTTTTTAAGATAGAAGCAATAGGTTGAATTTAAGCATCAGACCAGGTAATATCCAACTCGCCCCAGTTATCTTGGGGCACACCCAGGGCTTTCCACACAGCTTTTGAGGCATCAACAATGTTATTATTACAAGGAGGCTGATAATCATGGTCTCCATCACATCCCATGGTAGAGTCACACTCATCAACGACCATGGCATTTACACTCCGCCCATTCGCACTTATGGTGATATTGTTGAGGCATCTTCCTCCTCCTTTATACCATCCAGTTGATAGTGCAACAACTGGTGTGTCATCAGAGTGGTAATTGTTATCACATTCTGATGGTCCACCACCATCTCCACCCTTCTGAAAACTATTGAGAGTCAGAACCGCCTTAGTATTACTCGAAACTGTTGGTGAGCATTTGTAAGTTGGGTAAAGTTTGCCTTGTACACAGCAGTCAGAGTCATTTTCTCGGTTGCATTGTCCAGGAGGAGGTTTTCTACCTCTAATTTTGCCACTTGGGCTACAACCTTGAGCTTCAACTTCTAGGCAATGGGTAACAAGGAGAATAATCAAAATGAGAAGTGGTGCTCTTAAGCTGAAGTTCTTCATTCTGCTCTGCTCTCTCTGTCTCTCTAGTTGTGTTGTGATTGTGATACTTGTTGCCAACCTGTATTTAAGAGTGGGGCTATATATAAGATCTCGTGGAGGAGCAGTCTGGTCATTTAGGAGGAAGCTTAGAGCAATGATTGTACAGGTGTTTCTAGGAAAAAGAACAATAAAGGGTTCAAAATTTTAGAAGACATACTTGTTTGATATTCTTGGACAACAAAACTGCTATCGATATTTGAGTTAAATGATGATTCAGAACCCCATTCTAAAATATCATTCAGTCTAGATTTATATACTTATAATATGAAGTCACTTTCGTTATGGGTTTTGGAATCATGATATGTATTCAAACATGAGAATGCAGTATTGTATCTTTTACACTAACTTCCAAACTAAGATTCTGTGAATGCTGTTGGAGCCTCCAGCTTGGTTTTCTTCAATTTATTATAAATTATTGAGACAGTCCTAGATTGTTCCTTAACTACTATAAGGTACAACATTAAAACACTGTTATTCCATAGGAAGCATGTACCATTTATAGTAAATAAGATGTCATAGATCACTCCTACTCAGAATCTATCTTTCAATTTTCTCATTTCCTTCGCATCTATTTAAGATTATTTGTCTACATATCCTTCCTCAGAAATTGGCAATCCTTCTTTTTAAGCAAACTGCTAAATGACATGCCATGATAGTTGTGTCACTTAAGGGTGAAAATTTTGCATGGTGAAGGGAAATTGTCACACTTTTAAGATGCATCCAACCCGTTGGTGCAAAATGCAAATCATATGTTCACAACTCCATCAAGCTTTGCATCATTTACCACACACAATTTCATTTACAAGAAAAAGATTTTAATAAATGAGATATTGGAAGACGAAACCAGTATACAAGCGAATCTAAGACCCCACTAGTTTAATTTTAAAAAGCATCCACATATTTGATATGCAATTCAAGAGATACAAGATAACGCTACCTCCACAATGATGCAAATTATGGATTTTATGTTGCAAGCACAAAAAGTCGTACGTGTTGTCTCCAAGTTCCTGCTAGGCAATGTCGTTACTTGAAGAATCATGCCCTAACATCTGTACTAATGACAAAAATAAGTAAGATCAAATAATTCAGATGAAAACAAATTAGCTACTAAATTTTCTGTTTTATCTTTCTTCTACCATTTCTACCGTTATATATCTTATAAAAGTTGTTTAACTACAATTTGGAAACCATAGGTTTATGAACTCTGGAGTAAGTTCACTGAGTGGAAGAAAATGTTACTGTGATAAACCATAAAGAAACAACAAATGCTGACGCAAAAAATTAATTGTTCAATGCAATATAGAAATTACTTTTAAAATGGTAACTAGAGGCAGCAGTTGACAATCAAACTACATCAAAAGATCCTCAGGACAGAATATAAAATTAAACAGAGGAATTTTTGGTACCATGAATTTGATAAGGGCCACAAGAAGGGCTCTGGAAGGAAAATGAAATGTTATGGAAACATGGTTCTACACTCCCGTCCTCCAAGTCGAACACACTCAAGTTTCAAGAGCCATGTTTAGATTTGATATACTATCCCATAATAGTGTAAAAAAAAAAAAAAAAAAAAAAAAAAAAAAAAAAAAAAATAAATAAATAAATAAATAAACTGTGAAAAAGATGCAATTCCCTCTGGATGCATAACTGAATAGCATATGATCCACCAAGTTGTCTAACTCAACCCCACTCAGAAATGTCCCAATCTAGCCTGAATATCAAACCTTTGTCTCAGGAGTGGCATAAAACCAATTAGCTCTAGTAGGGTACTAGGGGTATCAAGAACAAGGTTCCAAACTCTAGCCACCAACATAACATCCCCGTTGAACACCATGTGAGAAACGGGTGTATGCTTAACAAAATTTTCAGGTTCACGGTCCACAAAAAGAAGCATGTTCAATTTGTTGGTGTGGCTTTTCAATGGTGGCCCGACTTGCAAAGCTAAACATACAAATCTTCTATCTAAACCACATACAGCTCCTTCATGTAGTACAATAGCCGAAATTTAGTTCATTCTTGGACTTCTTCCAAGATGGACCATTGAAATGGAAACAGCCCTCGGGCGAGAGTAGTACTAGGATGGGTGAACCCTAGGAAGTACTCGTGTTGCACCCCTTTTATGTACGATTTTGGAACCTTTCAAAAAAAAAAAAAAAATGGAAACAGCCTCTACAGGGGCCTACACAGTGCGATATGGTCTAAACTGTAGTTTCATTAACACAGAGTAAATCATCTTTAGAAATTTGTTTATCCTCAATTTCGGCAAATTATTAGACTAATATTCTCCATTAATACATTCCTCCGAAGGAACATTATCGTTCTATACAATACATACAATTTTTCAATTTCCTTTGAAATATTTCTCCAGAAGGTTCGGTTGCGAAATTAAATAGATCAAACACATATAAGAACACAAAGATTTTACGTGGTTCACCCAAAGAATTAGAGCTACATCCACGGGTTGCAGAGATTTCAGTACGTTAAAAAACGACACACAATATAGAGGTTCAGAATTAAATAAATATCCTCTGTGCACTAGGGCAACATAACAACCGCCGAATATTCCAAAATACTCCCCAAAAAATTTGGCTCCACACTACCCATCAGATTCAACTGAATTCAATCACACAGACATTCTCTTTTAATGCCTTATATAGGGTTTCAGGAAACAGTACTTATAAAATCAAATACATATACATGGTGGACAACAAATAGATGATCTTGTGCTTCTTTGCTTCACATGATAAATCAATCTGTGTTCAAAGTGAAATAAAGAAGGTGTAAGCTACCAAAGAAATGAGGCATAATGTACTACTGGTTTGACGTTTAGTGCTATATACAACAGAGACAAATTCATATGTATGTCTACATGAACTAGTATAAATCATCAATGCGTTGAACTTTTTATTTTTCTTCTGGTAAGAAGGCCAAGAAAAGGAAAACCCAAGAAAAAAATTCAAGACATGAACAACTTTGAATAGAAATGAGCAAAAGCAATGAGAAATCACCCGAAGATTTGCAATCACGTTGAGTGCCAAAATGCCAATAAGGTCTGTTACAGTGAAAATGGTAAAGTATGCATTTAAACCAATGGAATTGCTTGATAAGTCTTTCTTTGTGGCCCAACGATGTAAGTTAGACTACACGTACTTGAAGGTCCTTTCACAAGTCAACCAAGAGTCCCTCATTAAAAAAAAAAAAAAAAAAAAAATGAGTCAAAACTTAAAGGTTAAAATTTTGGATAAATTATATTAACCTGAGATAAAATATATATTTATTAACCTGTCTTATGTTTGGAACTTTGGACAAATTATATATGTGTGTGGACAAATTATATACCCCCTCTATCTTATATTAGTTGTCCCTTCAAAAAAACTTTGACTCCCGAATTTTGCGAGTCAAAATTATCAAAGTAGACATTTAATATGGGACATAGATAGTATATAAGTATATAAAATAAATATGACTAAAAATAATTTTAAATGACTCAAAAATAAAAAATAATAGTGAGTCAAAATTTTGAAGTTGGACAATTAGTAGGATGTAGTATGCGTGTAGAGGGTTGAATTTTTATTACTTTTAACTCTCTTTAAATTCGTTTGCTAAGTGGGTGCGTGGTCAAAAAGTGATTTAAATTTAAAAAATTAATAACATTTTAATATTATAATAATATATTATATTGAATTTTATATTAGAAGGGTTGAATTTTTATTACTTTTAACTCTCTTTAAATTCGTTTGCTAAGTGGGTGCGTGGTCAAAAAGTGATTTAAATTTAAAAAATTAATAACATTTTAATATTATAATAATATATTATATTGAATTTTATATTAGAAAAAGACAAAATTATTATTTTATAAAATTTTGTCAACAAATCTCCTAGAAAGATAAAGTTAAAAATGTTGTTGAATGCATGTGTCAAATTATTATTTTGGTGTTTAATTTGCTCAAAACTGATTAATTTACTTTAAATTTTTATTTGTATAATCATATGTGTATTATTAGGTGCGGTGTAAAATTCAAAAAGAATAGAACCGCGCTAAACAGCTCGATTAATTTATTCCAAAACATATTTAATGTGAGATAAATTTATAAAATAAATTTAAAAAAAGTCATTTTTTTTTTTTTTTGATCATCATTTTTGTAAGGGTGACAATTCGTGTTCGCGGGTCGTAATCGTGTCGTGTCAATTTAAGGGTATTATACTAAACAACTCAATCCGAACACTACCTGTTTAATAATCGTGTCAGAAACTCTCAACACTAACCCGACCTATTTATTAAACGGGTTACACGTGTAACCCGTTTAATGACCTATTTACAAAAAGAAAAAAAAAAATTTAAATTATTAATTTTACTCAATAAAATAATAAATACTAAAAAATATATAAATTTTAATCAACCAAATTACTAAATAATTTTAGTTTACAAAAAAATTAAATTATAAGACACAAGTTTATATAAGAATTTTAAAGCTTAAATAGAAATTTATTTACGGCATATATAATTAAACGTATATAAATGAGTTACACAGGTTGAACCCCTCAACCTAAATACGACACGATTAATTAAACGGTTTAATCGTATTTACCCGTTTATGACCCGAACTCGTTTAAGGTCCAAATTCATTTAACTCGTATTGTGTTGACGAATCGTATCAACTTTTGTCACCCTTACATTTTTGTAATCGTCATCTTTCATTACTTTACTTAATTGTCGTCGTCATTATTGATTTATTATTACTTATTGTGTTTTTCCTTCTTTAAAACGAAGTCACAACGAAACCAACAAAAAAAATTGAAGTCATGATCGTAACAAGTAGCTATAATGTTTTGCTAGTTTGTTTAGTTTAGAGAATGTAACTAATGCATAACATCAATATTTGCACGGTCCACATAATACATTGCGATGTACGTGCCCACTCACGTATAAGCTCACACATAAGCTCGCTCACAAACGTCAACAAGTGTAGCTCAAAGAAAAAGATGATATATTAATGGTGCTAATTTATTTATTTATTTATTTTGACAAACTTTTAAAGAGGTAGACACTCTATCAATTAGACCATTAAATAATACCCCTCGTAGCGTTAAAGACCCATTGGAAAACATACATAGAATTTAAATTACATAAAACACAAACTAAGAACATGCAACTTTAAGACAAAGATAACATTATAAATCACAAGAAAGCATTTGAAACTACGCATCGGACCAAGTTATTGCCATGTCACCCCTGGCATCTTCAGGTACTCCCAAGGCTTCCCAGACAGCTGGTGACCCGTCAACAATGTTGTTAGGACACGGAGGCTGGAAATCATGGTCTTTGTCACAACCTATGGTTGAGTCACACTCATCCACCACCTTCGCCACCACGCTCCGCCCATTACCTCTAATGATAATATTTCTTAAGCACCTCTTTGAGTTGTTGAACCACCCGGTTGATAGCGCCACAACTGCCGTTTTATCAGAGTGGAAGCGGTTATCACATTCGGATGCTCCGCCACCATCTCCACCAGCCTCAAAGCTGTTCAGAGTGAGACGCGCCTTTGTGTTACGAGTCACTGGTGGCGAACATTTGAAGGTCGTGTACAATTGACCTTCCACACAACACTCAGAGTCATTCTGCTGGTTGCATTGGTTAGGAGGGGGTTTTTTCCCCCTAAGTTTGCCACTTGGGCTACAAGTTTGAGCTTCAACTTCCAAACATGCTACAAATAACACAAGAATTAGAGGCAGAAGAAATGTTTTTGAGCAAAAACTCTTCATTCTCTCTCTCTAAACTTGTCTTCAAAGCTTGATGCAAGAAGAGTGATCTTTTGAGGGTATATATATATAAATATTTGCCTGACCAACTTACCCATATACACTATATACCCCATTTACTAATGAGTTGTGACTATATGGTTCCAATAGGTAACATTTAATTTTGATGATTTAGCCAATATTTTCTAATCAGTTGTAGCAATATGGTTCCAATAGGTACCATTTAATTTTGATGATTTAGCCAATTTTCTAATCAGTTGTAGCAATATGGTTCCAATAGGTACCATTTAATTTTGATGATTTAGTAAAAAAAAAATCGAGTTGTTTTGTGATTAGGCTCTTTCATGAAAGTAGAATCAGAGCCGAAAGTACATGACTGTTTCAACAGGTTAAGACAATTTTTTTCTGTCAACATGGCTGCTACGGCACGAAAAATATTATTTTAATTTTTGTAGTCAGATTTATATATATGTATGTATGCATACATTGGGGTCTTTATCCATTTCGTTGATTCAAAACAGAAAGCTGCTCTGCTATAGAGTCATTTTAGGTATCAGATTCGCGGTTAACAGAATCAAATTTTGTTTTGGAGTCATTGGGATTTAATGGTTCTGAGTTATTTTATTTTATTATTTATTTGTTTTGTTTGACACTTTGACTGTGGGTTAGGTTAAGCAATTTTATATACAATTGTTAATTTTACAGAAGTCCATAAATGAACTGGGCCTGAGAGGCCCAAATAAAGTTAAAAGCCCAAAAATCAAAATAGTCATGCTCCTACGAAAAAATATATCTACTCATAAACTCACTCACTCTGCCTATTTGGAGAATCAACTCTCACTATCTACTTTTGAGACATATAATAAATAGCACTATTCACTTTGAGACATATAATAAATAGCACGAAAACACAAACCCATGGTATAATATAGATTAAAAAAAGAAAAGGACCTTTATTTAATAGATATTTCACTTCCGGTTATAATGGTGCAAGTTTATTTTTTTCCAGTGAATTTAATTGTACAAGTTGCTGCTAGCCGTCTGGTTTTCATTTTATTTTTTTGCCTCAATGGGTATTATTCTTATTATTTTTGTAGCCCAATTTCCTTTCTGGCCTTGGGGTATGTGTCGCACGACTTTATGTATATTCTTCTCCTTCATATATAACATCACTTATTTACTGAAAAAACGTCATACTCGTCGCAAAAGAAAATATTTATTTGCGACAAAAGTGAATTTCACTGCAAAATGTAAAAGCTTTTTGCAGCCAAACCTGAATTTTTATTTATTTATTTATTTTTTTTTTGTAAAAAAAGGTAATCGCATTTGCAATTTTTTTTATTTATTATTTTTGGGATGAATGCGATTTTCATCGCAAATGAAAAGGAAACACATTCATTTTTCACAACATATCCCTAATGGTACTACAATAAAGAATCTCAACTTTAACGAAATTAAGAAAACCAATTATACAAAGGGCCATTAAAAATCACCACTCATCTGTGAGTTTTTTTGAGAGAGGTTTAATTATGCACTATTTTTCTTGTTTAAATGTGTTAATTTAAAGGAGATGTCACGACAACTATTAAGAGATTGACCTCATGATAGCCTACTCTTATTTTAATCACCACCCTTATCAGCACTATTTTTCTTGTTCAAATGTGTTAATTTAAAGGAGATGTCACAACAACTATTAAGAGATCGACCTCATGATAGCCTACTCTTATTTTAATCACCACCCTTATCAGCATTACCTAAATATATATATAGCTCGTTCATTTATTTAATTAATTATTTGAGACATTTATCCAACAGATGATCCTTGTAAAACATGTAGGAACAAATATGTTGATGTCAAAGGATCACAGATTCGGTTGGCCTATTCAGGGAGTACTATTAATATGTAGTTTTATTTCTTGTCTGTTTTTGTTTTGAAGCCATTTATTATGTCCAAATCAATCTTTAGTCCCTTGCACTATATGCTATTTTCGGTTTAAACTATGAGAAAATTATCATCTTCACGTCTAGGCTTAAAACCCACTATCACTTGCTTCATATACAAGGAGAATTCATTGTGACAAGTGACAAATGACAATTCAATTAATTAATGAAAAGGGCTAGCCCCTTGCACTAAATGCTATTTTCGGATTTAAACTCACGACTTCTCGGTCATAATGAAACAATTTTATTGTTACACCATAACCTATTTTCGAAAGCAATTCAATGGAAATTTACTAAAATTGACTTTGAAAGTAATGCAATTACACTTGTGTTATGTTTGGTAGCATCAAATCGGTGTTTTGGATTTGATATTGGAGGAAGTTTAGTTCAAATTTGGTACTAAATTTCCTCTAATTCCAAATTCAAGGCACCGATTTGGTGCCGCCAAACATAGTATTAAACAAATTATAACTCTTTAAGGAGTTTTAATCGACCCTTTTATTGCAGAGAAGTTTCCTTGTTGAAGCAAGATTTGAAAAACTTATGATCATGCTTGATTACATGAAATTGAAATTAATGAAAATGGATCAGAGAAGCAACTTAAAAAATTAAATCAAAATTTTCTTCAATTATACCAATTTTAATTTTAAGACTTCAATTTCATATAGGTAAATATAGTCTAAAATTATTTATGTTACAATAGACGCGAATTGAGGATCGTATATATATTGGCAAAATTTGCTTTGAACAAAGTATAGATTGATGAATTATACATTAATCATTAGATTGGATACGACGCAATTCTTTCTTTGGAACATCCAACAAAGATACATTCATCAAACTAATCAAATTAATTAACAACACAAAACGAAGCCTAGAATGTAGTGAAATAAGCAACATTTCCTAATACATGTCACTAACTTAAATTTTTAATTCTATTATTATGTCACATTAATATATTTTAATATATTCCAGTTGTCATAGATAATATGTACAAATGGTGAAATTTCTGAGAATATAAAGAGTACAAAACTGCCTTAAATTCCACACTGAATGACAGCTATTTGAGTTGCTAGCTCATCTCTCTCTCTATATAGTTCACCACTAAACTATTTCATTCCCACCAAAACCAAGAGCTAATTAGATAGGAGAGAAGAAGAAAATGAAGAAGCAAGCTTGTTCAAGTGTGTCCATTCTCATTTTCTTTCTTCTATCTCTCACCATATTTTCGAACGTGGAAGCTCAAACTTGCAAGCCTAGTGGCAAGTTAAAGGGTAAAAAACCACCTCCAGGGGAATGCAACACGAAGAATGACTCCGAGTGCTGTGAGGAGGGCAAGCTTTATACTACGTACAAGTGTTCGCCGAAAGTGTCAAGCCACACAAAGGCAGTCCTCACAATCAATAGTTTTGAGAAAGGTGGTGATGGTGGTGCAGAATCGGAATGCGACGGTAAGTTCCATTCGGATGACGAACGGGTGGTGGCGCTATCAACCGGATGGTTTAACAAGAAAAAGAGGTGCTTGAAAAGCATTGTCATCCATGGTAATGGAAAGAGTGTGAAGGCCAAGGTGGTGGACGAGTGCGACTCCACAATGGGTTGCGACGCAGACCATGATTACCAGCCTCCATGTCCAAACAACATTGTTGATGCCTCTAAAGCTGTTTGGAAGGCGTTGGGTGTGCCAGAAGATGAGCGGGGTCAGCTAGACATTTACTGGTCTGATGCTTGATCTGCATGATAATATGATGATATATACATATATGTACCAGGAGCTTGGATGCTCTTGCATCAATGTCACGTGAGTGTGACATGACTGACTAAATGTTGGTTGCAATTTGCAAAAATGGAATACTTCTGTGAGTTTCCAACTAAAATAAAAGTTATTGGATTTTCAAATGCTGATACATACTTAATCATATGACTTACTGATTAATGCACTTTTTTATTTATGTGAGAAGATAATTGATTACCATCAAGATTGTACCTCCATCAGTAGTAGTTCTTCACCTACGAAAGTAGAAGTTTTATAAATAAACACACACACACACACACACACACACACAAAAAAAAAAAAAAAGGCAAATCCAAATGCTGTTGAATTTAGACCTGATCAAGTCTCCTTCATTCAACGGTCCAAGTGTGAGACATTGTGAAGTACTATCCAACGTTTGCCACTTGAGTCAACTCTTTGGAGTTGAGGGCTATTACTTTAATTTGCAACTAATCTAAATGCTGTTGAATTCAGACCTGATCATCCCAATGATAATTCTGAACTGGCAGGGAGGTGGGGTTTAGTAGTGCAGTTAAAAGTTGGGTTGTGCTTGGTACGTGCAGCAGGATTTGAGTTGTTACATTTGGTTTTGAAGTTCATAAGCTCGTACCATATTAGAACTAAGATTTTAATATATACGAGTTGAGTTTGAACAATTTCAAACACTAGCTTCAATATCAGAACCACCAAACAACTAGAAATGAGTTCCATTTCATATATAATTATCATTTTCATTTGTTCTGATCTTCTTCATCTTCATAATTTTTGCTTTTTTATAACTTTCTTTCTCATTGTCATCGTTGTTGTTTAAATACAGTACTGGTCGATCAAGAGACCGAGTCATTAGATTCACTCGTTTAGCAAATTTTCATATCAAATCTTTTATATATATATATAAAAGATTAAATTTCACCTCAAATGCACAAAAGTGGTATATGAAAATAATAAGGGTAATTTGGACAGATGAATAGTATTTTTTCATGTCCACATCAGTATTTTGGTCAATTCTATTTTTTCAAAATATCACAACTTTGACTCTATAAAAAAGGGACCAAAACTCAATGTATCCGTAATAATCTTTACATTAATAACTGGATTGGATAAGACATAATTTTTTTCGTTGGAAGAAACAACAAAGATTCGCTAATCAAACTAATCAGCAACACAAACTCTAGCATAGAATAAAAAATAAAAAATGGCAAATTCAGTACAAGAAGCTGTTGTCATTGCAAAATATAGAGAATGTTAGATACACGCAATCTTATTTTCACATGCAAAAAGACAAATTTTTTATTCCGAATTTATGACCTTCCAATTACAATAGAGCAACATTATGCATGGTTGCACCAAAACTCCCACCAACTAAAACCAAGCCTAGAAAGTAGTGACATATTCTACTTTTACTAATATAGTAATACGTCACTAAATTTTTAATTCTAGAATACATTCCAGTTGTTCTTTTCCAGTTGTGGAATCTAGAATGTAGAGAGTCCTTATATATATATATATATATATATATATATACACATACTCTCTACATTCTATAATATATACATATATATTATAATGTAGAGAGTCCTTATATATGTCACATTAGTATCTCCGTAGATTCGAGTTGTTCGCTTCCAGTTCCAGTGATACTTTTAACCTCATAGATAATCTGTACGTACCAATGTTGAAATTCTTGAGAACATAAAGAGTACAAAATTGCCGTAATTACACATTAAATGACAGCTATTTGAGTAGCCCATCTCTCTCTATATATAGCTCACCACCAAACTGTTCCATTCCCACCAAAACCAAGAGTTAGTTAATTAGCTAGATCAGGAGCTAGAGAAAAAGAAAATGAAGAAGCAAGCTTGTTCAAATGTGTCCATTCCCACCAAAACCAAGAGTTTTTTAATTAGCTAGATCAGGAGAGAAAAAGAAAATAAAGAAGCAAGCTTGTTCAAATGTGTCCATTCTCATTTTCTCTCTTCTTCTTTTTTCTATATTTTTGAACATTGAAGCTCAGGATTGCAAGCCTAGTGGCACGATAAAGGGCAAAAAACGCACCTCCTAAGGCATGCAGCAGAGAGAATGACTCTTGAGTGCTGAGTGGTGGGAAAACAGTGGCGGATCCGCGGGGCAGGGCGGGGGGTGAGCCCCCCCTAATTTTTATTTATTTATTTAGTATATGTATATTTAGCCCAATGTTTTAAAAAAGAAAAAATTAGTAGTAGTAGTATTAGCTCCCCAATTTTAACCCATCCAAACAAGCCCAATATTTAAGCCACAATTTTAAAACAAATGTCCAACTAAATAGGCTCAAGTCAAACAAACCCTAAACAAACCCTAAACAATCACTAAGTCAAAGCACAGAGAATTCCTAAATTCCTAATCTTGTACAAATCAGAGAGCTCATTCATTCTCTTCCTCTAAAGTCTAACCCTATTGTTTCTAAAATTTTCAGACTCTTTAATCTTTCGATCCCCAATTCCCTCTTGTTTAATATTAACCCCCCTATTAACAATTCCTGGATTTGCCCTTGTGAGAAAACCTTATGAAACGTACAAGTGTTCACCAAAAGTGTCACGCCACACAAAGGCGGTCCTTACGATCAATAATTTTCAGAAGGGAGGTGATGGTGGTGGACTGTCGAAATGTGACAATAAGTTCCATTCGGATGACACACCGGTGGTGGCGCTGTCAACTGGATGGTTTAACAATAAAAAGAGGTGCTTAGATCCATGGTAATGGAAGGAGTGTGAAGGCCATGGCGGTGGACGAGTGCGACTCCACAATGGGTTGCGATGCAGACCATGATTACCAGCCTCCATGTCCAAATAACATTGTTGATGCCTCTAAAGCTGTTTGGAAGGCTTTAGGCATGCCACAAAAGGACCGGGGCGAGCTAGACATATTTTGGTCTGATGCTTAATTTGCACAAGAGTAATGATAAGCCTGATTTTGATTTATGGAGGCCCTTTTTGGTCATTTCATCATTTTCCTTTACGTAATAAGTATTTGAGGGCCTTGGACGTTCTCCAACCGTTTTTATTAGACTACTTTACTGATGTTGTGAATTTAAAAGAAAATATAGGACATAAAATTATATCTTCAATATAGAGAGAAGAATGTCGAGACGGGAGAGAGATCTTATTACTTTCTATTAAATCCAAGTACCTCAATGTAACAATAAACAATCCGTATTTATACCCAAACATTGCATTAGTTAACATCCACCATTAACTCTCATCCTTAATGCACCATTAACCAAGTGCATTTACTTTTTATTTATTGCACCATAAATTCAACACTATACAAGTAGTGGACACCATATATATAACACTTCCCCTTGGAATCCACTACACAATACTAAGAATATGCCTCGTTAAAACCTTGCTAAGAAAAACCCAGTGAGATAAAAACTTAGCGAAGGGAAAAAAAGTATAATATTCTTGTGTATATGAAAATGGTATTGTATAGGTTAAAACTGTCTCATTAAAACCTTGTCAGGAAAATCCAGTAGGACAAAACCTAAGCGAAGGAAAAAGAGTACAGTATGCCAATACCTTTTCAATTTAATGCTCCCCCTTATTGCTGTATAAGTTCAACACTAAAGATCCCCGAGTTGACGCATTCCAATATTGTGTACCAACCTTTTAAACGTCGTAGTTGGTAGTGCTTTAGTGAATATGTCAGCTAAATTTTTATTTGAACGTATCTGCTAAATATCAATATCACCATTCTTCTGACGTTCATATGCATAAAAGAATTTTGGTGAGATATGCTTGGTCTTGTCACTTTTGATATAACCCTCTTTCATCTGTGCAATGCATGCAGCATCATTTTCATAAAATACTGTTGGGCTATCTTTTATTGATGAAAGACCACATGTTGTTCGAATATGCTGAATCATAGATCTCAACCAAATACATTCTCTACTTGCCTCATGAATTGCAAGTATCTCTGAATGATTTGAAGAAGTTACAGTCATTGTCTATTTTATAGTTCGCCATGATATAGTAGTGCCACCATAGGTAAACACATATCCTGTTTGTGAATGAGCTGTGTGTGGATCAGAGAGATAGCCAGCATCTGCATATCCAATTAACTGGGAGTTTGATTCTTTTGAATAAAACAATCCCATATCAATTGTACTACGAAGATATCGTAATATATGCTTGATTCCATTCCAATGTCTACGGGTTGGTGCAGAACTATATCTTGCTAATAAATTGACTGAAAATGCTATGTACGGTCGTGTGCAATTTGCAAGATACATAAGAGTACCAATTGCACTGAGATATGGCACTTCAGGACCAAGGAGTGCTTCATCATCCTCTCGAGGATGAAAATGATCTCTCTTGATATCAAGTGATTGGACAACCATTGGGGAGCTCAATGGGTGCGCTTTATCCACATAGAATTGCTTCAAAATCTTTTCTGTATATGTTGATTGGTGGACGAGGATTCCACTTGATAAGTGTTCAATCTGCAAACAAAGACAAAATTTTGTTTTTCCGAGATCTTTCATCTCAAATTCTTTCTTTAAATAAGTGGTTGTTTTTTCGATTTCATCCAATTTTCCCACAATATTCAGATCATCAACATATACTGCAATAATAGCAAAACCATATCTTCACTTGTTAATAAAAATGCATGGACAAATATGATTATTCACATACCCTTCTTTTATCAAGTACTCGCTAAAACGATTGTACCACATGCGCCCAGATTGTTTCAATCCATATAAGGATCGTTGTAATTTGATCGAGTACATACTACGTGGTTTTGTTTCAGGCATTTGAAATCCTTCTGAGATTTTCATATAAATATCACTTTCTAGTGATCCATATAAATATGCCGTTACCATGTCCATTAGATGCATATGCAATCTTTCTGTAATTGCCAAATGTATTATGAATCGAAATGTAGTTGCATCCATCATAGGAGAGTATGTTTCATTA